ACGGGTCCTCGCCCATGCCAAAGCCTCAGACCCAGCGTGACTGCAATGTCAGAAGAGATCTGGGGTCAGATGGATCTGGCTAAGCTGCTCCCGGATTCTCAACACTCATGAACTATGTTTGTTGTTGGTTTAAGCTGCTAAATTGGGAAGGGGGGTGATATTAAATATACAGCATGGATAATTGATACAGAGTAAATCCAGATACCCCTAGCATAGCCAGAAATTGTCTTGAGAAGAAAAGATGGCTTTATTAAGATTTTTCCCTCCTTGCTCCTCACTCCCTTCCCCAAAGTACTTTTACAAAAGAAATTGATGTGTTGATGAATAGGGAGTCTAGAGACCTGGATTGCTGTCCTGGCTCTGACCTTGCCCTCCATCCACCTCAGTTTTCCCACCTGCCAAACTGAGGAATTAAAGTATAACTTCTCAGCTCTAAAATTGTTAGGTCTCATAGTGGTTGAAATCATACGTTTTGAGTCAGAAAGACTGGTTGTGAACCCTGGCTCTGCCTCTTGCTTGCTGTATGACCTCAGGTTAATTACCTAACTTCTCTGCACCTCATTTTCACCTTCCATATAGTGGGTTTAATTATATCTACTTCATTGCATGGTTATAAACATCCAATAAAATAATACATATAAATGTATTATTTTATTTAGTACACATTAAATGCTTAATAAGTGGTAGTTACCACTACTAATAATGAGATAACGTGACAGGTACAATTATTTCCACTTATAGTCAAGATACAAGGGGATCAAAAAAGTTGGAGCACTTTATTGGTCTGGAGTGGGCCCAACTATGGGTGTTTTTTTAAAAGCTTCTCAGATGATTCGTTGACAAACTCTGACCTAGAGAAACTGCGACACATGTGCCAAAAAATCAGATGGGAATTTCACTGCAGTGCTGTTTATAATAGGGAATGATTGGAGATGATCCCAAAGCCCATCAATAGGTAAATGAGAAATAAACTGTAAATGGAATACTACACAGCAGTGTAAAATTAATGAACCAGAACTATGTGTATCAACATGTATATAAATCTCTAAAATAGAATGCTGAACCAACAAAAAATGCAGAAAGATACAAAGAGTATATATAATGTGTGAAAATATGCAGAACATTGTTATATATTATTTAGGAATATATACATATGGGTAAAAGCAAAAGATCATGCATGGATACAATAGGCATCAACTTCAAGGTGGTCGTTACCTCTGGGAGGGAGAGAAGGGAATGTGATAAGGGGAGAAGATGCTGGAGAGCTTTGGTGTATTGGTGATATGACACAGTATTTAGTATTTCTTAAACTGGGTGGCAGGCACATGGGTACCCATTGTATTAGCTATGTCTTCTGGATGTCTGAAATATTTCACAATTTAAAAATAGATGGCATAGAAAAATATCTAGCACAGTTGTACATGGGTATTTTTTCTTCTTATTTATTTGTGCCTTCTATTATATCTACAATGATCCTGTCTTGCTTTAAAGAAATCGTTGGTTATTTAACAAGAAAAAAAGCAGTTATGTTTAATTTTTTGAAAGTAAGAAATATCACGTCCCCAAATAATTTGCTCGGAAAACACTTATTTGCATGTCTGAGACGTTAACAGATGGGTGAAAATCAATTTGACACTGTATGACATGTGTACCCTGAGTCCAGAGCATGAGCCATCAGCTCAGGGATACCCACACGGGGTCCCCAAAACTCTGTCTCTTGGGGGTGCCTCAGAAACTGGGCCTGACTCCACTGGGTATGTGTCATGAGGATTAACCATTAGTCAGAGAGAAGGGTTGCTGGGGCCTCTTATGCAGCAGCTTTAAGTTAGGAGAAAAAAAAAAACATATCCAAGCAGGCTGGGAAAGGAGAGGAACATGGGAGTGAAGGGAGAGAGAACTGGTGTGGCATATTTTCTTTTAAATGAAGTTGAGTCATTCTGGAGCCATCCCAGTGCAGTATAGCCTCAAGTTGGGGAGTTTTGTGTTTCCTAAGCAATCGGCTCTGACTCTGCCAGTAAGAAATGCTTGAAAGCTGTTTCTTAAAGATGCACAAGTGTTTTTCTTTGTTTTGTTTTGTGTTGTTTTGTTTTGTTTTGCATAATAGACACATTTCCCATGCAGCCACTTTCCAGTTCTTTGTCACGTGTCAAGGTAAACTTTTAGAAAATTCCTCCATGGGCCATGGGGAGGCAATTTCTACCCAATACAGTATACTTAAGACGGAGAAAGCCAACTTTTCAATATCGCTTCAGGGACCATATTTTTCATGCATTTAACACAGCGGAATGCAAAGTAGAGAAAGAAAATTGAGTGTGCTCTCCCAACAGTGGGGATTGAATGGGGAAAGTGATGCCAGGTGAATTACTGCCCCCTGGTGTCCACAGACAGTGGTGCAATCATTTGCTGAGAGTCATTTGTGTTTTCCTGCTTGGCCTTGCCACCATCTCCTGTCCATTTTAAAAGCCTTTAAGCAGGGAACTGGCAGCCCTCTGTAGCCGGCAGGAAAACATGCCAACTGTTTAAAAATCTGGAGATTTTACTTTAAAATCTAGGCCTGAAATTGCTTTTGAAAAATTGGAAAAGCTGTCAACTTTTGGACTGCACCCCAGAATAATAAATGTAGGCTAGAACTGAGAAACTCCTACCCACTTTGGACAAGACAGGTGCCTCATAGTCTCCACACTCCCACCTCTCCCTATTATCTCATTCCCAGGCAGTTTTACTAAGAGTTCTTGTGAGCTTCTAGATTTGCTACCATGGCCTAAAGTCATTAAAGAGTTTACACTGGCATTCCAAGAAGGAATAGATATGGCATAGGGTCTTTAAAAGTAGATGATTACATCACCTTATGCCTGGGAGGGAACAGAGGTCCACAAACCCTATCATATCCAGTCCAGGGAGATAAGTGACCTACTCAAGGTCACGCAGCTGGTAAGCAGTGGGCCCTGCATTTGAACACGTATCTGTCTGACCCCAAAGCCCCACTGCTTTCCACTCCAACCATCCCCCATAATTAGCTGGTTTCACAGCAGGTCCTCCTCTGCAGAAGGTTTTCATATTACTGCTTAGACCATTAGACCTATCATATCCAGTCCAGGGAGATAAGTGACCTACTCAAGGTCACGCAGCTGGTAAGCAGTGGGCCCTGCATTTGAACACGTATCTGTCTGACCCCAAAGCCCCACTGCTTTCCACTCCAACCATCCCCCATAATTAGCTGGTTTCACAGCAGGCCCTCCTCTGCAGAAGGTTTTTATATTACTGCTTAGACCATTAGATAAATTCAGGGGACTCTGAAAGAACAATGTTCAAGATCTTTGTTCAAAAGACAGAAACAAGAAGCCCCAGAAGTAATCACCATCCTCCATCGTTGGTCCTGCTTCAGATATTTCTTATTTAAGTCAATAAAATTTTTCAAGCATCTACCATGTGCCATTCTCTATGCCAAGGGCTTGGATTTGGGGAAATCGAGGACTAGTTACAAGTTATAAACAGGGAACCCACCAGCAAGGGCCAAAACTGTTTGGTTCCTCACCTCACAATGTCCCCCCATGGTCTCTTTCATGACAGCACACCTCTGGTGGCCTGTACCTGGACACTTCCTTTTGTGCTATATAGGTCAGTGGCTCCCCTAAACTGGAATCAGACTGAGACCTACAAAATGGCAATGGGGTCTCTCTCCAGTAGTTGGAGCTCTGACAGGTTCTTCTGCAGATAACAAATAAAAAAAAAATGACTTGGTGTCTTTCCTGGGAAAAATTGCAACAGCAGATGCTATCAAGTGTTTGTTCTGTGCCAGACACATAGGATCTCACTTTGCCCTCACACAAAACCCTATGAGGATGTACTGTCATCACATTACCTCATCTTACAGAAACGCAAACGGGATAAGCAAGGTGAAGTCACTTGCAAAATGTACTGTTTGCAAATGGCAGAGCTGGGATTTGAACCCAGGGTTCTGTGGCCCCAGTGGTGACACCCACAACCACTACCTCAGAATGGCTTCCAAGAAGAATGTGCGTCATGGAGGAGGTCAGGTCTTGAAGCACACTAGGCCTTCTGCAGCAGGGTGGGAGCTGAGCTGTTAACACCAAAGTTTGCTTACCAGACAGAAGCGGAGCTGCCACACTGGGGCTAAGCTGCCACACTGATGATGCCTCTCTCGGGCGGCCTCACAGTCTGTTGCCCCAGAGATATGCTGTTTTGTGATTAAGCTATTTTCACTAAATAGTCTCCCCCTCCACCACAGCCCAAACTGGGGACTCCTGTTGGCACTGAATTGACACCAAAGACCAGCGGTTGACATAATATTTTAATGCTTATCATTTATGGGCACGTTGTGGACGTCTTGTTCAATATTTGAGAATTAAGATGGAGACTTCAGCTCTCTGCATAGAGATAAAATCCTCTGTCTTTCTCTGGGAAGCCAAAAGAAGCAGCCAGGCCCTTCTCTGAAGGATCCAAATTTAAAAGTCAGGGAGGAAGAGAGAGAAGGTGAGAGAAAGGAGAAAGAATGCAGCCCTGGTAGCACAGGGTGGAGGATGAGAACCCCGCTGTGAAGTCAGACTAACAGGGTAAAGAGATGCAAACCATCAGCATCTTCATTTTACACCTAAGGAAACTGAGGCCAGGAAAGACGCGCCCTAATGAGACCTGTGAGAAGGGTAGCATCTCCAAGAGGCCAGAACTTCGAGTTTCCGAGTTCGCCTGCCTGCACCTTATGCGCCCCAAAACAGCATCCGCCGGGGGTTTTTTCGCACCTGCTACTCTAGCTAGTCGCCCAGGTCCCGCCCCTCATGTCCTTTATTGGCTGCTGCGGGCACGAGACAAACGCAAGAGCTAACCAATGGAAGTGGCCCACGGCGAGTCTTACCCCGGGAAGCCGACACCGACGCAAGAACCCGGAAATGCGGAGGGCGGACCAGTGCAGAAAGCCAATCCGTCGAGACGACTGTGGCGGACCGACCAATGGCGAGTCGCCGAAGGCGGGGCCAGAAGTCGGTGACGGAAGAGGTCCTGGCAGCCGGCGCCGCGGAGCCTGCGAATGCGGGGAAGACGGCCACAGGGTCTGGCAACAGTGTGCGGTGAGGAGGGGTCGAACCCGAGGGTCTCAGAAGGAGCGAGCTGGGGAGGGTGCGACAGGGCAGCGAGCCCAAGGGCGGGGTTCGGAAAAGGGCAGCTCCCCAGAGTAACCTTAATCCAGTCCCCTCGCCTCTGTGGGCCTCAGTTTCCCCCTTCCTGTTCTAATGAGGGGTGAGAGATTCGCGCCTTCCAGAACGCACTTCCTCCTGGGCACACACCCGCGTCACCCGCGAACTCCAACCTCGCCGGGGAGCCCGTCCTTCGGGAAGCGCGCCCAGACCTCCTGGACTAATCACCTGGATGCACACCGTCATCCGTACCCCCAAAGCACGCCAAGCATTCGCCCTTTAGAGCACGTACCAAGCTATTTCTGTATCATCGTGTCAGGCTCCCCCATTAGACTCAGAGCCCTGAGCGATCAGAAACCTAATCAACCATTTCTGGGTCTTGGTGGCCTAGCACCAGGAGCAGCCCGGAGCAGGTGCACAGGCACTGCTTACAAAATAGATGTGAAGTCCCAGGCACTCTGAACTCAGACGCATGGGGTATTCCTGATACCTGTTTGTGGGCCTTCTGGGAATTGACTTATCTGTCTCTGCATTGTTTCTCTTGGAGCTGGAGTAGCTTGCCTTCTCGGGGTAGTGAGGGTTGGGTGAGATAATGTATAGCTAGTACTCAGCTCAGTACTCAGCACAACATAGTTGCCCAATAAATGCTACTGATAGCATAATGGGGCTCACATACCTGGCCCCTCCACTCCCAATGCCAGCCCCAAGCACATGTACACTGTCACAGAGGGCAAGTGGTCAGCCGCTCTGGCCCACACCCTGAGATTTTGAGATGCTTGGACTGTCTGGACTCTAGACAGCATCCTGCTGGACAGGCCAGGAAAGGAAGGCCAGAGAAGGGATCATCAGCATTGTGGTTAATATCAGGGTGAGGGCAAGAAGAGATGGCCACCTATATGGCAACAAATTAGGACACCAAACAGTTGTGCTTATGCTTATCAAAGAATGGGCCTTAAAACTGCCTTAGCCAATCTGGGTGGGTGTGTGGGTGTGTGTGTCTGTGTGTGTGTTCAGTATTTGTGCCCCCAGACACCCAGTGTCTGGTGTCAGAGGGCACAGAATTTGTGGTGAAGCGGGAGACTTTAGAGCCATGGGATCCTGAATTCAAGTCTTTAGGCTGTCACTTGCTCACTGGGTGACTTCAGGCAAGGGACTTCACCTCTCTGTGCCTGTTTCCTCATCTGGAGGGTGGGGTGATGATAGCATCAGTTACTGTTGAAGACTGCAGCAGATAGTATGCGTAGGTCTTTAGTGCATAGCATAGGACCTGGCACACAGTTAAGTGCTTAATAAGTGTTGGGCACCGGCAGCATTGCTTTTCAGTCACACCACTCTGGAGGTGGCACCAAATCCTTCCAGGCTGGCCCCTCCTCATTTATATCCACTCTTTGCTTGCCCCTACCTCCTGGTCATAGTTAAGAGGCGTGGGGGTTTCCAAGCCCTACCTGGAATCAGAAACGTATCCTAAACATATTACTTCCCCTACTTCATCTCCTACAACTCTTGGTTCCTTGCAGATCCAGCACTCTCTCAGACAACTGTGGATATGTGCAAGGGGCCCACCCCTGAGTCCAGATGACACTCATGTTGATGGCTTCAGTGATGGCAGTGACTGAACCAAAATGGGTCTCAGTCTGGGGCCGCTTCCTGTGGGTGATGCTGCTGAGCATGGTGCTGGGGTCCCTGCTGGCCCTGCTGCTGCCTCTGGGGGCCATGGAGGAGCAGTGTTTGGCCTTGCTCAAAGGCTTCTATCTGCTCAGGAGCAAGTTGGACAGGGCACAGCATGCTACCACCAAGTGCACCAGCCCATCCACAGAACTCAGTGTCACCTCCAAGCATGCAGCACTGCTGGTGGTCAAGACCAAGGCCTCTCCAGGTAAGACAGAATGACTGTCTGTCCTCAGTGCTTTTATTTTTGGATTATGCTACATTTTATTTATCTATTCATAATTTGTGTTTACACTTTTTAATTGATTGGGGTATCATTAGTTAATAACAAATTTTAGGTGTACAACTTTATGACATCTGTATACTCTTGTGTGCTCACAACCTAAAGTCTAGTTTCCTTCCGTCACCACATATTTGACCCCTTTTACTCTCTTCATCCTCCCCCCAACTACCTTCCTCTCTGGTAATCACCATTCTGTTGTATCTGTGTGCTTCTTTTTGTTTTATGTGTTCATTTGTTGCTTTTTGCTTTATATCCCACATAAGATTCTTGCCCTTTAACGTCTGACTTATTTCTCTTAGCATGCTCTCAAGATCCATCCATGGTCTCAAATGGCAATATTTCATCTTTTAATGGCTGAGTAGTATTCCACTGTATATAAGTACCACATCATCTTTATCCAGTCATCCGTCAAAGGACACTTAGGTTGTTTAAATGTATTGGCTATTATAAATAATACTTAACATAGTTAACATAGGGATACATATATCTTTACAAATAAATGTTTTCAAATTTTTCTGGTAGATACACAGAAGAGGAGTTGCTGGGTCCAGTAGCACCTTTATTTTTAATTTTTTGAGGGACCTCCATACTGTTTTCCCTAGTGGCTGCACCAATATATATCCCCATCGACAATGCACAAGGGTCCCTTTCTCCACATACCAGTCTCTCCAATGCTTGTTATATCTTGTCTTGCTGATAACAGCCATTCTAACAGGTGTGAGGTGATATCTCATGGAGGTTTTGATTTGCATTTCCCTTGTAACGAGTGATGTTGAGCATCTTTTCTTATATCTGTTGGCTGTATGTCGTCCTTGGAAAAGTGTCAGTTCAGGTCTTCTGCACATTTTTTAATCAGATTTGTTGTTGTTGTTGTTGTTGAGTTGTATGAGTTCTTTATATAGTTTGGATATCAGCCCCTTATCAGAGGTGTCATTTTCAAATATCTTCTCCCATTCAGTTGGTTGCCTTTTTGTTTTTTTGATGGTCCCTCTTGCTGTGCAGAAGCTTTTTAGTTTGATGTAATCTCATTTATTTTTGCTTTTACTTCCCTTGCCTTTGGGGTCAAGTTCACAAAAACTTCTCTGAGACCAAGATTTGTAAGTTTAGTGCCTATGTTTCCTTCTATGTATTTTATTGTTTCAGGTCTTATGTTCAAGTCTTTAATCATTTTGAGTTAATTTTTGTCAGCAGTCTAGTTTCATTCTTTTGCATGTGGCTTTCCAGTTTTCCCAATGCCATTTATTGAAGAGCCTTTCCTTTCTCTATTGTTGTTTTTGGCTCCTTAGTTGAAAATTAGTTGCCCATATATGTGTGGGTTTATTTCTGGGCCCTCATTTCTATTCCAATGGTCTGTGTGTCTGTTTCTCTGCTAATACTATACTGTTTTGATTACTGTAGCTCTATAATATAGTCTGAAGTCAGGTGATGCCTCTGGCTTTTTTTTTTCTCGGGATTGCTCTGGCTATTCGGGGTCTTTTGTGGTTCCATATAAATTGAAGGATTTGGGAGGGCGGGGGTGGGAAAGAAGAAAAGAATAAATGTCCTCCCTTGGCTTCTTTTTCCTCCTGCTCCCCACATTCCACAGCACCAACTCTCGACTTCTCCCTCCCCCAACATGCAAAGTAAAGAAAATATAAATATAAAAAAAAAAAATACCATTAGGAGTTTGATAGGGATTGCATTAAATCTGTATATCGCTTTAGGAAATATGGGCATTTTAAAACTATGTTGATTCTTCCAGTCCATGAACTCAGAATATCTTTACATTTCTTTGTGTCCTCTTTAATTTCTTTCAACAATGTCTTGTAATTTTCAGTGTAGAGATCCTTCACCTCCTTTGTTAAGTTTACTCCTAGGTATTTTATCTTTTGTTGCAATTGTAAATGATATTGTTTTCTTCGCTTCCCATTGTTTCATTCTTAGTATACAGGAATACAGCAGATTTGTTTCCTACAACTTTACTGAATTTTGTTATTTCTAAGTTTGTTGGTGGAGTCTTTAGGGTTTTCTGTATATAGAACCATATCATCTGCAAATAGTAAGTTTGATTTCATTCTCAGTTTGGATGCCCTTTCTTTTCCTCGTGTAATTGCTCTGGCAAAGACTTCCAGTACTATGTTGAAGAACAGTGACGAGAGGGTATCCTGGCCTTGTTTCTGATCTTAAAAGATATCTACTCTGCAACATTGAGTGTATTAGCTGAGAGTGTCATATATGGCCTTTTATTAAGTTGAAGTGCTTCCCTTCTACACCTATTTTATTGAGTGTCTTAATCATAAATGGATTTTGTAACTAGTCAAATGCTTGTTCCACATTTGTTAATATGATTTTTATCTTTGTTAATGTGGTTTATCACATTGATTTGCAGTGTTGAACCATCCTCGCATCCCTGGAATGAACCCCACTCGATCTTGATGTATGATCCTCTTAATACATTGTATTCGATTTGCTAGTTTAGGATTTTTGCATCTAATGTTCATCAGAGAGTCTGGCCTGTGATTTTGTGTTGTCCTTGCCTGGTTTTGGTATCAGGGTAATGTTGGCCTTGTCAAATAAGTTACCAAGTATTCCCTACTTTTCTATTTTTTGGAGGAGGTTTAGGATTGATATTAAATCTTCTTTGAATGTTTAGTAGAATTCACCAGTGAAGCCATCTGGCCCTGGACTTTTGTTTTTTTGGAAGGTTTTTGATTACTATCTCAATTTCCTTACTAGAAATGGGTCTTATTAGGTTTTCCAGTTCTTTATAATTCAGCTTAGAAAGTTGTATATTTCTAAGAATCTGTCCATTTCTTCTAGGTTATTGAGTCTGGTAGCATATAGCCTTTCTTAGTATTATTGTACAATCCTTTGTATTTCTGAGGTGTCCATTTTAACTTCTTGTCTTTCCTTTCTGATTGTGCGTCGTCTTTTTTCCTCAGTAAATATGGCTAGATTGGTCAATTTTGATTTTTTCAAAGAACAAGCTCTTTCATATTTTCTATTGTCTTTTTGTTCTGTTTCATTTATTTCCACTCTGATTTTTATTTCCTTCCTTTGATCCAACTTCAGGCTTTGTTTTTTCTAGTTCTTTAAGGTGTGATTTTAGATTGCGAATTTTGTTTCTTGTAATGCTGTAATACAGCCTGTAATGCTGTAAACTTCCCTCTTAGCTCTGCTTTTGCTGCATCCCAAAATTTTTGATATGTTGTTTTCATTTCTCTCCCCCCTCCCCACCACCACCACTACCACCTATGCTCTGCCGGGGTATTTGGGGTAGGGGAAGCAAGTCCATGATCTCACGGCTCCACTTCCCACTACCTCCACCGCCACCAGCAGAAGCTGTTGGCATGACTGTGCTGTATAAGACTTCCTAGCCACATTTATCTGGCCTTGCCTCCATGGGAAGCTAGGAAGAGAGAGACCTTTTACCAGAGAGAAACTGTTCTGCCCCTTTTACAATCCAGGCTGTACTGTGAAGGCTGCAGCCCAGCTTCTCCATTGTTGCCAGTGGATGCCGAGCCTCATCTTTGTCCTTACCCCATCCCGCCCCCCTACTCCTTCCAGGACATCCATCTTCAGGTGTTCCAATGCATGGATCTTTCAGGTGTGTTTGTGTTAAGCAGGGGATCCTTTGTTAAGTTACAGTTGTCCGACTTGTAAATTTAAGGGGAAGAGCAATGAAGTCTACACTCCACCACGATTCTGACGTCACTGTCCTCCACACTTGTTAAATCAATGAATTAGAGTGTCCTGTGTGCAGGGCACAGGGTCTCAAAGAAGTCTGCCCTGAGATCCCAACCTAAGCAAGCTGACAGGTGACAGAGAGACACTAGTGTGGTGATAAGGGAGGAAAGGGGCTGCAGGCACACAACAGGAAGGCTCCCTGGAGGAGGGGATGCCTGAGTGAAAAGAGTGACCCAAGGGAACAGGAACAAGGGGAGAGTGCTCCAGGCCAAGACTAGAGGGTAGGAGAGCCTGGGACACTTGAACTAAAACCAGTCCATTATGTGTTGCTGACACTGACTCAGTGGGGGGCTGGCAAAAGGAAGACTGGTTGTTGAGTAGGGTCCAGCTGAGAAGCAATAGGTTAAAAGAATTAAAGAAAGGCCTAGAGATGGGAATGCCTCAGAGGCTAATACCAGTGGGGAGCTATTCACAGCCTGGCCTACAGGAACAGGGGCAAGGGCAGGGGCAGAGCAGGCACCATGAGGATGGATCCCCAGAACAGCCAAGAGCCAGAGAAGATACAGGAAGGGCCGTGAGATGAGAGCTGTGGGTACAGAGGAATACATCCACTCACTATGGCCATCAGAAGGCAGGGCATCAAGTGATGCCTCCTAGGGTACAGAGAATGGCTCTGAGGACAAGTGGACAATTAACAGCCGACCGCCCCATGGGGCTGTGGGGAACAAACACACCCATAAATGTAGTGGTCCTAGGCACACTGAAGAGCACAAACAGCATGGCTGGAACGAGCCCCCGAGGCCATGGCTTCCCCTGGGGCCTAGCACAGTTGACATACTACAGCTCACTTGGACATCCTTTGCCACTGCCTGCCCTTCTTGACAGTGCTTCTTTGGCTCTTTTCTAGCTGCTAACTTGGAAGCTAAAGCAGCTTTGAACCAAGCCCTGGAAATGAAACGCCAGGGCAAGCGGGAGAAAGCCCACAAGCTCTTCTTGCACGCCCTCAAGATGGACCCAGACTTTGTGGATGCGCTCAACGAGTTTGGCATCTTCTCGGAAGAAGACAAGGACATCATCCAGGCAGATTACTTGTACACCAGAGCGTTGACCATTTCGCCCTACCATGAGAAAGCCCTGGTCAACCGAGACCGGACGCTGCCACTGGTAGAGGAGATCGACCAGAGGTACTTCAGCATCATCGACAGCAAAGTGAAGAAGGTCATGTCCATCCCCAAGGGCAACTCGGCATTGCGAAGAGTCATGGAGGAAACATACTACCATCACATCTACCACACAGTTGCGATCGAGGGCAACACCCTCACCCTCTCAGAAATCAGGCACATCCTGGAGACCCGCTATGCTGTGCCAGGGAAAAGCCTAGAGGAGCAGAACGAGGTCATTGGCATGCACGCAGCAATGAAGTACATCAACACCACACTGGTTTCCCGCATCGGGTCTGTCACCATCAGCGACGTGTTGGAGATCCACCGGCGAGTGCTGGGATATGTAGATCCGGTGGAAGCTGGAAGGTTTCGGACAACACAGGTCCTTGTGGGCCACCACATCCCTCCCCATCCTCAAGATGTGGAAAAGCAGATGCAGGAGTTCATACAGTGGCTCAATTCCGAGGACGCCATGAATCTGCACCCTGTCGAGTTTGCAGCCTTGGCCCATTATAAACTCGTTTACATCCACCCTTTCATCGACGGCAATGGAAGGACCTCACGCCTGCTGATGAACCTCATCCTAATGCAGGCAGGCTACCCACCCATCACCATCCTTAAGGAGCAAAGATCTGAGTATTACCACGTACTAGAAGTCGCCAACGAAGGCGACGTGAGGCCATTCATCCGTTTCATTGCCAAGTGTACAGAGACCACTCTGGACACCCTGCTCTTCGCCACAACAGAATATCCAGTGGCGCTGCCAGAGGCCAAACCCAACCACTCTGGGTTCAAGGAGACACTACCTGTGAAACCTTAACCCTCTAAATCCTCCCTTGGTGACAAGGAACATCCAGGAGAAGAAAAAAAAATCAAAGAAACTGATCATTTCTAGAAACCTTGTCATCTCTCAAAGCAAAAGGAGATAGATAAGGGACTTAAATATTCTTTACCTCCAAATGTTTTTTAAAGAAAAAAACTAAATTATTAAGCCTTGTCTATAAGATAACTTATAATTCAGCCAAGTTATTTATTTTCTTTTGAGCTAGGAAATGTAAGATATCTGCTCTCTGTGCTGGTGGCCCCTGTTCATGTGGTGGTCCCAGCAGGCTTTGGGGGCACCAGTGCTTGTGTGACCAGAACAGTTTCTGGAGTAGAATTTGCACTAAGGTGGAGAAGAGGCCAACAGCTGTAGGACGAGCTCCAGAGCCCAAGGACTAACTCCTCCAAGTCTTTCTTTGAAACGGGCTCCGAGGTTCTGTGACTCTACCTGGGAAGTCAGCACTCCTGGGAAGAACCTGGTCCAATTTTGAGAAATGACTGAAAGCTTGCTTGCTTAGAGGATTTTGTTCCCCTACAAAGAGATTAGTGCTGTAACTAATTCTTAGTAGTAGAGCAAACTTCCGAGATACGAATGTTGAAACATTTCTAGTTTGATACCCTGCTTATTTCAAGGAAGAGTATTTGAGCCACACAGTTTGCAAACTAGGCTAGTTTTCCATATCGAGACTATTTTAAGAATAGGGGAGTGGCCAACCTAGTTTTCTTTCTCTATCACTGTTTCTCTCATTTCATTTGCAGCAACTCAGACCAGATGTTTTAGTCTAAAAGTTCTCTGGGGTTTCACCGAACAACTGAATCACTGCAAATCAAATACTGTCCAAGTGGGCAAGTCTGCCCTTACCCACCATCCTCTGAGTTTAACGTCTTCTGTAGGTCAATGTTAAGGAACAGATCTAAGAAAACAGATGCCACATCAACACCAAATAAGCATTTTTGACAATGAATTAAGAGTACCAGTTTCCACTGAACCACAGAAAATCTCTGACCAGAGCTAGGACATGTCCCTTTTGTTGTTCAGCTTTATCTACTTACTGACCTGACCCCCACACGTCCCACAGCCACTGTACTGTCCAGCATCCCCTCAGGGAAGCAGAACAGATTGCCTTGGAGTAGCCTTATTTTTCTAGCAACTTATAGAATGTTATATGTAATATGGCCAAGTTGTCATTCTGTGGAAGTAGAATCTTCTCTTCCAATCATATAAGGCACAGGTGCCAACATAACTGCTGCTACTTAAGAGTCAGAATGGTCAGAAATCTTTAGGTTTCTCTTCCAGGGACAAAGTCCATGATGTCTAACACTGTACTGCACTTTGTCAGTATCTGAATGATGGTGAATATATACAGGGTGTTCTCTGGTTTGAGAATTCAGATACTGATAGTAATGAGGTCACTATTCTTATGTAGCAAGTGTTTACAATTACCTAATTATATAATCTCAGAGTGGTTTTCCGAAAGATTAAGGAAAATAAGTGTAAATGTATATGAAATGGCCCCGTGATAGTTATTCAAACCTTTATAGAAAATATTTTCATATTTGTATCCTGCCATAAGGTATTTCTTAAACCTTAACTCTTCTATTGTCTTGGTTTTATAAGCACAACAAGGAGGCCTGACAGAGTGCTTGCTTTGTACTATAGAAATTGGCACTTTAGCTATATGTGAAGGATATTATTTTAACAAATAACTGACTCTAATAAAGTATTTTATTTAATAAATGCCTAAGACTTTGCTGTCTTATTCAAGAGATAATCCATTTGTCAGAAGGATGCAGAGGAGATTATTTTCAAAACCTTAGCCCTATTATTATTCTGGCAGTGAAACAGATCCAAGACAGTACTTTCAACAGGAACACCAGACAGAACTAGTTGGGTAAGCTGCCTACCTACGCTGAAAGGAACAGATCACTGACTTTTAACTAAGACTCAAGTAACTGAAATAGTTTTTCATGTTTCTACTTACCATGAGTTCATGATTTTCTGGGGAAAACACATAAACCCAGTCATTCCTGAAAATCCACTTACAGAATAGTCAACACCCCAAACCAAAACTGGATCCTGCTCAAGTCTGAAAAGGCTCAGCTCTGTTACAAGCCTATGTTAACATCTGAGACTATGAAGTAAAGTCAGAGAACTGGCCAACAACAAGAAAATAAAACAGTGAAATGTGAAGTAAGCAAAGAGTAAAAATGCCTGAATCTAGATTGATAAGGAAATATTCATGGCTCTTCAGTGTCGGTCCCCAACTGTCCCAAATCCTCATCCACAGAACAGGCTTCGGCAGGAGAGTGGCCATTCTAGAGAACATGGTTTTTTCTGACTGTTTATGAAGTGAGAAATAGCCACTGCTTGAATTTAATTCAGATTACTCCAAACAAAAAAATTTTTGTTTTTGTGCAAAAAAAGAGAAAGACAAGGTAGAGGGGGGACCTACAGATTAAAAGATTTAAGAAGTTATCAACTAATCATAACTTACAGGGGGAACTGACATTTATGAAACGAGAAAACGAATTACTGCTAATGTTTTCAAGAATAATGCTAAAACTATGGCCTTTAAGTCCTTATCCCTTAGAGCCACTTACTACAATATTACTGAAGAGTGCTATGATATCTGGGGTATCCCTCAAAATAGTATGGAAAGTAGAGATGAAGGAAATGGGCTATGACGTGAGAAACGCTGACATTCAATGGTAGGCACATAAGGGGTTTATCTCATTATTCTCTTTTTAAAATTTTCCCTTAAAAAATGTTTAAAAAAGTAGTGAAGCCTGACACAAAAACTTACAAAACATAAATGAGTTGATTTCCATCACATTTGAAAGGATCCCATTTTTCTGCAGAGCATCTATATAAAGGAAGTTCTCCCTACTGAATTGACAGTGTCGCTTTCAAAGCAAGAAATATTTGATAAATGAGGGGTAAAAAGCTTAAAAGCTAGAGGGTCAAACTGATAAACTGAAGTTTTAAAACTGAAGACACATCACAGCTGAAAAGATTTAAAGGCAACAATAGGATTTGACTTAGAAAAGTTCTATTTACACATCTATTAGGTAAAGCAAGGTATACCCATTTCAAAATACAGCCATATGTAAATGTACAGCTGAGTACCATTCCACAAGAAGTTTTTAAGAGAATCTCAGTTTAATAGACAAAGCTAAATGGGGAAAATTTAAGTTTGCAATTGACGTGGTATTTAAACAAAACCAAAGGACTGAAACTCAATATTTAGACAACACAGTCAACTACTCACTAGGCAAAGAAAATGGTCCACAGCAGATGGCACACATTCCTATATAAAACAAATGTCACAAATATTCTGCTTTTATGAAACATAAGGGGTTGACATGTCATTTACAAATACATAATATAAAAACGCACAGCCCCCTTGAACAAAAATCCATCAAATTTTTTTGTGACTTCCCTTATCCCCACCCCTTTACTAAAATAGGCCATTCCGGTGAATTACTAGCATCTGCCATTTTTGTCTTTTAAAAATTAAGAGTGATGAGCATATGTGCTATGCAGAGTGTAAGAGAACTGTCTTATAAAAAGGGGCAGAGTTGGCCGAAAACATTTGGACAAGTGGGTCTCAAAAGAATGTGCTCAAGTTTCACTTCCATTTCTCACTCTTAAAAGACAAAAAAAAAAATCTGAGAAACTACACCCTGTGCCCAACCTGTGGAGTGACTGTTTTCCTCCTGTTGCCCTCAATATGAGGGAGCACTTAAAGCCTCTTTCTTGGACACCATTTTCCTTTCTGTCTAACCCAGAGAAAACTACGTGGGTGCAGGCGCTGCCCCAGGCCCTTCCATACCCAGAGTACGGCTGGATGACTGGTAGGCTTCCTGGCCAGCATGAAGTAAGGGATTTCTCTTCTCTTAGAGTCCCGTTCACTTTCTCAGAAGCAACTTGGCAAAATCAGCATTGGACATCTTGGGAGCCTCAGTGGCAGCTGAGGTGGTGACCGCTGGCTTTGGGGCAGGGCCATTCTCCGCCTGAGCTGCCGTAGTGCTTGGGCGTTGCAGGGCGCGAGGCAGCAGAGAAAGCTGGGTCCTTCCTTTGCCCCGCCTGGAAGAGCAAATGCTGAATGTACCCTTTCAAAGCACCAATTTATAACCCTTTTATTTGTGAAAATAAACCAGGATAGTCTTAAATCGCTCAAAGTTAAAAGGTGAAAAGTAAAAAAAAATAAGAATGATAAGACAATGCCTAAGTTTCCTTGACTTTGACTAGTAGGTAAAAAATCACTTTAACTTGGCCTTTTCCCCATTTTGGCAAGGACCAAACCTGTGCAATGTAGTCACCCATAGGGTAGATAAACATGGCTGTAATCTTTCAGACCTCACCAAATCACCTCACAATTTCGCATTGTCATCCCTTATCAAATAAAGACATAGCTTTTATGTGATGACAGCCAGAGCTGCACATTACCCTAGCAAGCATACAGTTGCCAAGTTTTGTTTTAAACATATGGATTCACCTGGCAAAGAGGATTTTAAAGTAATCAATGCCTGATGAAAATCTGACCTTAAATAAATCACAAGTGTAAACTGGCAAACACCAAGAAAGGTTTCACTTCTAGGCTTATACTCTGTATCACCCTCCTCTGTTGAGTACAGTGGACAGCAGGCCCCGGCTTTCTGTCCTAACGTGCTGTACTGACAGGAAACAAATTCATCATGGTGCTGGCCCAGGCAAAGTCTGCACTGGCTAGCGCGCAAACACTTACGCTCCATATATCTGCCGCAGCACCATGGGGCCACCTGGGCCTTTCTTTGCTTCTGGCTTCTCTGGAACTTTCCTCTGAGGGGGATTGCTGATAGCCACTTTGATGACGTTCTCTTTAATAGTCATGCCGTCCATCTTCATGACAGCCTGCGACGCCTGGGATTCATTTTCGTACTCCACATAGGCGAGGCCCTGAAAGAGGCCATATCCAGAGCCAGGTCAGGCACTGCAGAGCCAGATGCAGCTTCCTCTTTCAGGTCAGGAGGCCAGGGCAGGCACCCCATTGATAGGTGACCTTCCCCACCGCCACCATCTGTCTACAGATTTAGTTCCCTGCCCTACTCTTCTTCCCTTTTTCTGTAACTAACTATAACTTCGGATAACTTTTTTAGGTTCAGTACATCTTGTGCTTACAAAAAAAAAAAACAGACCAGTATAAATCCAGCAAACAGATGAGGTCGCCTGGACACGGGAGCAGCCTTCGGCCTCCCCTTATTTCATATTCTTTAACATTCGATTAACCTGGATAAGGGCAGGGCGAGGGGAAGAGGTAACTAGTGCTTAAACAACACTACTCAAAATGTGGTCCAAAGAGGATTTAACAAGAGGCTAAGAAGGGGCCAGAGGGGAGGACATGATAATGGTGAGCCTGGTGGAAGGACCTGAGGAAACGGCTGGGAGATGCAGTGAAAAGGAGGAGTCTGGTCAAGAGGGAGGAGATTGTAGAGGACGGCCTCTCACCCCAAGGCCCCACGGCTAGGGCTCCGCACTGTGCCTCCCTCCGCCCTGCTAATTTGTGGTAGCTCTTTTTTCCCAAACACTTTATTCCTTTTAGTGCAGTTAGCTAAAAACAGGTTAATCTGGCTCCAAATGCAAGTACAACCTAGTGTACCTATCCTTCTGTTAACTTATCATTTGTTTCTTAGCAGACAAACTAGGAACCCACTCTAGAACCAAATACTCCCTGAACAAAGAACGAGGTTTGTCCGAGGCTCAGAAGGCTAAATGCCATCCGCTCAGAGGCTGACCTTTGGTTTGCCGGCCCGGTTGGTAACCAGCCTGATGTCCCTCACGGTGCCATGAGCCTTACAGATCTCTTCCAGTTCCTCTTTAGTGCAGGAAAAAGGCAGACCCGAGATAAAAAGCTTGTGTTTCTCCAGGGCAGTGCTGTACCTGAACACCTACAGGAAAAAAGGAGGCGGGGCAAAATCAACGACTCAAGGCACAACCCAGCACACAGACCATACTCCAGCCAGTCCCAGCCAGGCACAACAGAGCTGACTCTGGGTGCTAGGCATTGTTAACTGGGTCTGGGTCACCCTAGGCAAGTCACTTATCCTCTCAAAGCCTCCACTTCCTCTTCTGTAAAATGGCAAGAATGAAAGTAGCTATTCTCAGAGTTTGGATGAGGATCCCATGAACGAATTTGTAAAACATTTAGCACTGTTCCTTGTCATTCCTAAGCATGCAACGGAAAGTAGACATTATTACAATTCCTAATTTTATGGTCACCTGTCAACTAAGGCAAGCTCGAAGTAACCAAGCCATGAGTCAGACCTCAATTACCAAGCTTGGAATGGACCCCATTTAATGTGGAAATTTAGTCCTTAACAGGGTGCAGATATTCCATGCATATTTTAAATATTAGTTGCTGCACGAAAAAAATATTTAGTCTGTCTATAACAACCCTTCAAAACAGGCACTCTTTTTTCCATAAACATACCTTAAAATCAGGATTTTTGCTCTTATCCACACAGGGAGAAACAAACATTGGCCTCCCTTCTACATTCTTCCGGTCCAACTCCAGTGCCTGCAGAGCTGATTTTTCTTCTTTAAACTCCACGTAGCAATACCCTCGGAAATCACCCCGGTTGCTGAAGATGGGGCGGATCTCTACTACTTCCCCACAGGCTTCAAAAAGCGGCCGGAGCTTCACGTCCGGCTCCTCCATGCTGTAGGGCAGGTTGCTGACAAAGACAGTGATGCTGTCCTTGCTGCTGTCGTGGGGCACCTTGGGCACGTCCCTCTTCAAGACAGCCGCCCTCTCTTTCTGCTTTGAGGGAGGGTCGACATCTATGGATGCACTTTTTCCAAAGAGTCCCGTTTCCGCTTCTAGGTTTTGTGCCTCTCCAGCTATAGGAACACTGTTCTCAATCCTTCTGCGTTTGGAAGGCTGCTCTACAGATTGTCAAAAGAAAAGCAACAACGATTAAGTATGTCTTCTCTGTAGTGAGCTGTTCCACATACATACCCTTCCCACTACAAATAGCTAGTCTGCCATAACTGCAAGCAATAAACACTCCTCTCTCCACATACCGAAATACACGCACCACACCCTCTATCAAGTTTTTTGGCCCCCTAGCTTTTCCTACTATTTTCTGGACCCTATTACATTCAGGTAAGTGGACCAAATCAAGTAGAACTGATAATGTTAGGTCCTCGCTGTCTACTTTTAATTATGTAAAAGGTCAGGGGGTCTCAAAGTTCAGATGGCCCCTCTCCTAGGAAACCTGGGTTAGCAAGGGCAAGATAGGGTTTGGGGTCCTGCAATTAAACAAGCACCTTGTGAGTCTGAAGTATGCTTCACATGTAGGCCACACTTTGGAAAGCACTACGAACTGTCTACAGTTTCTAAAAACTTCTACTATTGTCTTGTGTCCTTTAAGAGAGTATAACAACATTCTATTCCAATCTAGTCTCCCCACTGCCTCCAGAGGGACAATACTGAAACTCAAATGGCACTGGCCACCTACTTCCAGACCCTTCCATCAATTCTCGGCTGCTTCCCAATGAAGTCTAACCCCTGCATGCTGCATGCAAGAGCATCCCTGAGTGGGGCCCAGCCAGCTGGCCCGTCTGCTGCTTCAGCCTTATCACCCCTGCACCTGGCCCCCAACATGAACCAGGGCTCAAACCCAGTTAGTTATCTGCTGCTCACAGAAAATACCAGGCTGTTTTGTGCCTTACACACTTTGCTGATACTGGCTGTGTCTGGCTTCCCTCTTCTTTTTCACTTGACAGTCACTCCCCAGATGCCAAAATGCATGCATCACTTCCCCACAAACTTTCTTGCAGGGAACTGACCCACTGGTGCCTTCTTTGACTCCCACAATTCACACCTACATCTCCCATAGTCCCAATTACACACCACTGCAGTCACATGTCATATGACTTACCCTGCTAAATTGGGAGTTCTGAAGGACAATGAGCTATGGTAGTCATTTCTGAAGGCCCCAAAAAGATGTGCAAAAAAGATCAACTTAATGATGACTCCATTACTATATCCCTCTGGCTGACAACTTTGCACTAGGAAAATGCAGAGTCCTTTAATGTCTAGAGACAATTCTTTACCATGACTGACTTCGCTGAAATAAATCTGACCCACACCTGCCCAATCCTGAAGTTGCAGAGTTGATAGAAACATTGGTTGGAAAATTCTATCAAGTCAAAACCACAGGTCGGGGCAAGCAAGGCAGGTGTCCATGCAGAGTAGGGCTGCAGCAGTGGTATGGGATACTGGAGCCTGAGTGGAAAAAAGGGGATGGATGTCCATACATGGGACAGTAACAGGGACACCTGGGGGTATGGGAGACTGAGCAGGGCGAAGAGGGCACCACACGGGCGGCAGTGGTGGCAAACGGGGCAGTGTAGGGAGTGGAGCCCAGGTGGCTGGACAAGTGTCTGTGCAGGGCAATGCCTGGCACAGGACATAGAGGTAGGCAGGGACAGCAAAGGCGATGGGACATCATGCTAGCAATTTGTTCTCAAATGGTTCAAGAAAAAAAGTTCTTCATACTGTTTTTCCAACTTCTCTGGAAGTTTGAGGTGTCCCAAAATAAAATTTCTGGAAAGCTTTACCTTCTTCATCATCACCCCACTCTTTCTCATCATCCTCATCTGCTTTGCGCTTGTCTGCACCTCTGGTCTTTTTCTTCTTTTTCAATGCTTTCTTCTCGGCCCGGGCCCTCTTCCGGTGTTCAGCCTTTTCTTCTTCTTGCTGGGCAAGGGCGGCTTCCTTCTCCACAGCCTGGAAAATTGGGAGTATGACATATCAGTGGACGCAGCAATGACATGAATTCTACCGCCTTGTGATGAGGAGAGAGATGAAAGTGGACAGGGACGGGAAATTCATCACCCAAGTGAAAGGATGAGATCTGAAAAACAAGAGGAAGCGCTCACAACTTTCCCCTGCCAGGGCTTTTTGAGTTTCTTAGGATTCTGTCTCTCAAGTACACAGTATGTTTTACAGTATCCCCAGTAATTATCCACCCAAAAAATAATCTATCAAACTGGGGCCCTAATTAATTTGGTGGTGTTCGTATTCCAATCATTGGGCTGAGACTGCTTTTTATTCTTTTTCATCTTGTCTAGTATATTTTAGAACCAAAATTCCCCTACTACATAAAAAAAGGATTGTTGGGCTGAAGTTTTAAGCCGATCTAAAAAGTAATACTGGATAGATTTAAATGTTGATTCAAATATTTTGTAATATTCTCTATATAAAAGACACTTTTTAGGAAGACTTCAACGGTTTTGACAAGGACATATCAAACACAGAATAGTTATCAGAGATTCTCTAAGACTCCAAATAAACGGCATAATTACCTTAATTCTCTGCTCATTAACACGTGCTAATCGAGTTTCAGTTTTCTGAACAGCTATATCCCAATCTTCTAAAGTACCTTGATAGAAAGAGAAGCGAACTTTCACATTTTAGGTTTTTGAAGGATATAAGACTTTCTTAATTTATCCGCACTCCAGAAGAGATCTCTCCCATCAGACAAAAAAGAACTAGAGTCAGCTCCCCATTTTAAGATTTTATTATATAGGCTTGAAGTTTTAGACTTCAAGTACTTCCAGGTGTGTTTAAAATATCTCTTCAGAGACCTGAAAACTAGAACATGATCTATTATGGGCTCTCCCTAGCAAAGATTATGAAAACATTCTAATGCAAAAGGTACAAGACACTTATATGAAGACTGAAGAACTCTAAGAGGAACTCAAATGATAAATGTTGGGGTATTTTGTAATTTGTTGTTGCCTGGGTGTTTTATTTCAGGTTCTGAGGGGTTTACACCCAAAATCCAGACCAATGTCCACGTATAAATTCACTATTTTCCTATTAGAAACTTAATGTTAAGGCTCTGAAATCTGGCAAGTGATGCACACATAACCAAAAGCACAGGTAGCCATCTGCTTGTCTGTACCCCTATGGTGGGTGTAACATGGTGCCTCAGCAGAAGTTCTCAAATGGAATAATCCTGACCCCCAGGGAACTTTCAGCAACCTCTGGAGACATTTTTGGTTGTCATGACTGGGGGCAGGGAGGATTGCTATTGGCGCCTAGTGGGTAGAGAAAGGCCAGGGATGCTGCTAAAGGCCCCACAATGCACAGGACAGCCCCCACCACCAAGAATTATGAGAACCCCGCGCTAGAGCTATATGATGGAGAATACCCCTTGTATCTGAAGATTTGAGAGGACTTGCTCTCACTGGAGAGTACCACGTGACAGTCTAGTCACAGTGCACCACTTGAGGGGCTGTAGCCATAAATGGTCTGTCCTTACAGACTCCAAGCCAGAGTAGAGAGGCAAGGATCCCTACCTTCAGTCCTCTCCATGGTGAGCAACACTTCACAGACGTGCTCTGGGTAGTCACTGGTGCACTGGACGGCCCGGTGCAGAGCCTTCCTGCAGTGTTGGGTGTCACCGTGTGCCCTAGGGTAGAAAACAAACAGGTGCTGCCGCTAGGACACAAAGCAGAAAGCACACAAAAGGAGGGGCAGTCTTCTCACAGGTAGTGCCACAGGATCAGGAGCTCTGCCACAAGTCTAGCTTCTGAGGAGATCAGCTTCCAGAACTATCCACATAAAGCACTTCTTCTGCATACTGAAGTACAACAGTTGTCGCAAAGAAAATAACTGTTTGGGGTGCAATCTAAACTAGTTAGTTTTTTCACGGAACACCATTTTTACTTTCTAATATGGTAAATATTAACTCGCATATATAAAAGCTTTTGGGGTCTTCAAATTTTAAGAGTGTAAAGGAGTCTTAAAATACCAAAAAGTTTGAGAACCACTGTTCTAGAAGAATTTTCAGCAAGTGGTCATCTCTGGGGATGGGATTATAAGAAACTTTCACTTTCTATGTTTAAAATATATTGAATAAAAAAACTGGTCATACAAATTCCATATGATTTCACTTTTATGTGGAATCCAAGGAACAAAATAAACAAAACAAAACCAGATTCAGATACAGAGAACAAACTGGTAATTGCCAGATGGGACAGGGTTTGGGGGACTAGGTCAAAAAGGTGAAGGTGTTAAGAAGTACAAATCAGTAGTTATAAAACAGTCATAGGAATGTGGAATACAGCATAGGGAATATAGTCAATATTATTGTAATGGCTGTGTGTCGTGCCAGGTGGGTACCAGAGTAATCAGAGAGATCACTTTGTAAATTACATAAACATCTAACCATTGTGCTGTATACCTGAAACTAATATAAAATTACTTTTTTAAAAAGCTGGTCATATTCTTTAGACCTTATGTTATCAGGCATATCTTATTTAAAATAATTTTAGAGGTTTATAATTTTAGGTTTAAATAATTTTAGAGGTTTATACATTATAATTGCATTTTCATTTTTTTTAATTTAAGCATAGAAAAGTCTTGAAGAATATACCCAAATCATTAACTAATGATGTTATGCCTGGGTCCATGACTGCAGGTAATTTCGGTTTTTTTCCTCTGTGCTTATTAGTATTTTACACTTTTATATCAAAGCAAATAAAAAGAAATACCTCCGAAAAAAGTCAAATATTCATGTTCAAAAAATCAAAAAACGAAACAAACCAAAAAGAATTTTTTTAAGAAATGCATAGCTATAAAAGCCCAGGCACAAAATATTGTTTGGTTCTCTAGCCCTGCCCACTAATCAAAGAGACAGGATGAAGAAGATAGGGACCCACTGTAAAGAGAAGCCCGAGCCAACAGAGGTCACCCAGGACTGAAGACCATTACTGCTGATGAAGCACTGCCTTCCCCCCGCAGGCTGTTACCTTTCTAGGTTGTAATACTCAAGCCACATGTTGGCATACTTGGCGTTTCCTCTGGTCATGATGCTATCCCAGAGCTCCCGCGCTTTCTGCATATTATTACACAGTCGAGCCTAAGATGCATTAAAAAGCTCAATGAGGAAAGGACCTGCACCTCATGATATCAACACCTATTACAAAACACACTTCAGACATGTCTACAAAGCCACCCCCTAACTATTTACATGAATCCCTGGACATTCCCGAGGCTGCCCTCCATAGGAACGGGCCCAGCACCACCACTTCAGCCTTTCTGCAGTGACAAGTCTCAAGTATGCCTCTTTGTTGAGAACAAAGAGTGAGAGCCCGTGTGCGCTAAGACAGTACTGGCCAGGCATTTGCTTTTTATTTTTATCAAACTCAACTGTAAGTGTTTAAGAGGCAGTAAAGAAAGTCTGATCTAGGAGCAAATGCCAGCTCTACCACTTACTAAGTGACTTGGACACGTTGCTTAATCTTTCTGAGCCTCTGCTGCCTCATATTTAAAATGATTACAATACAAAAATCCCACCTAGAAGCAAATGTTTCTTTGACCTGATTCTTCCTCAGAGAATAAAGTATTAGAATTTTATAATTCTCTGAGCTGATCAAGAGTAGATTATGTCTTACCTTGAGGTCTCTGGTCCAATAATAACATTCAACTCATTATATCCTCTAATTATTTGTCAAATTGTCTGTCTTCCACACTAGATTAAAGCCTTACTAGTGCCGGAGCCTTGTCAAACTCATTTTCCCAGCACCTAGTAAAGTGCCTGGCAGACAACACTACAGACCTGATATGCTCTCATGAATGAAACACTGAGGATGGGAGATAAGTAAATGAGTGAATGCCTGGCATTCAGACATTTGCTGCATACCTTCTACGTGGGAGCTAATATTTTCATGAAGATATGAACGTGAGTCTTTACAAAGCCTAGACCATCAGCTGGGATTCTGACTCAACTTTAGCGACACTATTAGACAAAGGTGGATGAAACTGACAGATGTGTCAAAAATATTTACCTCAATCCTAGCCCAGTTCTGCATGATCATGCAGCTTGGATCCCCACTCTCATTGAAACCTTTAAGAAGAGAGTTAGTCAAAATTAGAAAGTTAGTTAGAGACAAAGAGACTTTGCCTGAAAAAGCACATCAACTGAGAACAGGAAATATAACTGGACAAAGCAGCAGGTTAGAGCTATGCTTACGTTCTTCCACCTCCTGTTTCAGATATTCCAAAGCGCGAGTGAATGCGGATCTCAACTCTTCCAGTTCTTTACTGGAATCTGGTAGAAATTACAAAAGAGGTTTGGCTTTATAAAACCACATACCATGTTTGAGTTTTTTTTTAATCCTACACCGAAACTCCCAGGAGCCTATTATGTACATGGCATCGTGCTGGGGACACAAAAATAAAATTGCCAGTCCCTGCCCTGACCATGCATTGGAGAAAAGAGACACTGGAGCAGAGCACATTATAGGCAATACGATGACAAAAGTGAGCACAGGGCACTGTAAGCAGGAACACAGGAGAGGTGGTCTCCCCCAGCCAATGGAATGGCTGAAGGCCACCTGCATGAGCATGCAAGAACGAGTTAGATGAGGGGTGGGGAGTTCTGGTTGCTATTTTTTTTTTTTGAGAGGGGTGAGGAGAATGGCGGGGGGTCCTGCAGAGGTTCAAAGACTTAAAAGAAACATAGCGGTCTTATTTAGAGAACTATTTGGGATATATAAAAAGGAGAGAAGAGATAAATATGAAATGAAACCAAAGAAGCTGGCAGAAGCCAGCATAAAACACAAGACCATTAATCTCTTCCTTTACAATCCAAAGCATGATTTGTTAAAGACTTAAATAGCTAAAACTTCTAGGGGAGAACAGTTACCAATGGCTGGTCTACATCATTTGCCCAATCATGATGTATTTAAGCAATTAGAACATCTCGACAAAAGATATGTTAAGAAAAAGTTCAGCTCTGATATGATGCATGTGAACTTAAATACCTTGTCTGAAATCGACCCTTCTCCTCAGGTAATCCAGGTACGCCTGCCAAATCTCCACATAATCAGTGGCCTGAATGAAGCCAGCACTCAAAGCTTTCTCGAAAGTCACTGGAATTGAAGAAAAAGCCAAGATTTGTTGCCAATTCAAAAAAAAAAAAAAACTGACATGAAGTTATTAAGATTATAAAAACCCCTACTGGCTATAAAATATTTTATGATCAAAAATAGTAAGAAATGACATAATAACAATAACAAAGTGAAATAAGCTTGAAAGAAACCTTCAAGAGAAAAGCTACTACAGCACTGCACAAATTGTGTTCTAGAAAGAGCACATTCCACAAGACACCCTGCAGTAAGAGTTCCAGGTCAAGCAAGTCTGGAGAAAAGACCACGACTCCTGAAAAATCGCAATAAATATTAGTATGTTAAAAAGTCCTAAGAAGCCAAAAATAAAATCAGTTCATCTCCCAATTAGAGCCCTTTTTGTCACTAATACCCAATATCCCAAAGTAACACCCTGGGAGGCTGATTTTAATGACTCTGTCAGAACTCTATATATGTCTGACTTGGGACAAAAAGCTTAGAAGTCTTCCCACAAAAACATTCGCACCAGAAATCGTTTGATGATCAACTCCATGTCTTTCCATAGCCAAGAGGTACCGACTCCACAGGGCAACTGTCCAGGGGCAGTTTCTAACAGCACGATTATGTACAGACAAAACCAAATCCTTTACTTTCAGCTGCCGATCCTACGATAAAGAATTCCAGGGTTAGGAGATAAAATTTTATGGTTAAGACTTCACCATCGACAAGACATTTCCAGCACAACCAACCAACCAAAAAAAATTTCCTTAGAAATGTCTCTTGTGACTGGTTTCTTCAACAAAGAAATTGAAGGAGGAGAGGGAAACCCACAGATTAAATTAGCCAATCCTAATGTATGGACCTTGTTTGGATCCTGACTCAAATCTTTTATATATACATACTGAAATATTTACCAAGGAAATGTGATTTCTGGATTTGCTTCAAAGTAAAATGGGATGGATAAAGTAGGTAAAGATGTAGATGAAATTGGACTAGTGCTGTTAGGTAATTGTTGAAGCTGGATGATGGTACATGAGGTTTCATTTTACTAATCTGTCTACATTTATGTGATTACATTTCCATTATAATAAAAGTTTAAAAAATTAATATTATAAAGTCCTCAACAGTAAGACTATGATTTTTTTTACAGTTAGTGATCAGTTCAACACAGCTGAAAACACTAGAAAAACTTCCTGAGTTGACAAAGAGAAAAGGAGGATGACGGAAAAGTGAGAACAAGTGGAGAGGAGCGTGCACCTAACTCCAAGCACTCTTACTGATTTCCTTTAAATAGGTCCCAAGTTGGTAAAAATAAAATGAAATTAGAACAGTTATCTTACTAGGTACTGACTGTAACGGATCCATAAGTCTGGGACAAGGCAGTTCTCGACCAGGGCACGCTCAAAGATCAACTGAATGCGAGCAGGATCGCCAATTTTCATCTCAAAATCGATGTATGCTTGATATTCGGCCAGCCTGGGGGCCTCTGCTTCCAACTGGGGCAAAGGAAAATTGCAGTGAAGTTGAAATGAGCTACTGGTACTGTCAGGAAGCACAACACATCTTCATAGTTAATTTTGGTGAGACTGGCTACACCAAGATAAGAATCACCAGTCCCCACTCTCAGAACCTCTGCATAACAAGGTCTATAATTTGTTGGGCAGAATGATAGTCCAAAGTGCTTCTTCATGGCAATAGCTACAAAGACTCCATAAACCCTTTTCGAAACCCATCCCTAGATTGCAGGGAATTTAAATTTCCCATCAATCAGGAATTGAATGAAAGAGAAACACCTTTGCCAATGACCACTGCTAGCCATCCTTCCAAAAGAGAAGCCACTTTCATGGCCTAATGAATAGAGCTAATGTACCACACTGGAGAAATTCGGTGCCCTGTGCTATTTCAGGTTTCCCATTCCAAGTATCAGCTCCTACCAGAGTACATGTAAATGCAGAAGATGGAAGAGGCTATGGTGAATGTTCGCTGATCCTAAGACATACAGTCAGAAGTCTTTTTAGATAAAATTCTCTTATTCACCTTATTTTCTTTTCAGCCACACTCAGCTGATGGTCAAAACAAAATTGAACTGGCTGAGATGTCATTACTGAGGCTCCATGAACCATAACTATATATGTAAATCATTTATAGGTAAAAAGGGAGAGAGAGCACATGCAGGCCAGCAAGAGAGCACACACGCTCTGAACACAGAAAGATCATATTTTAGAGCCTGAGTTTTGAGTAATAATGACAAATCAGTTACCCAGACACACTATGCCACTGAAAACAACTAAAACTGAATTAAATATAAAAAAAAAAAAAAAACCTGAAAATCATCAACAAACTGGTAAGAAAACAATACTAAGGAAAAATCTAGTGAAGGTGGTTAAGTTAAATGAAAGTTAAGCTTTTGCTGGCTTAAGATATTTTAAGACTCTGATCTTCACAACAACCCTATGAGGCAGGTATCATTATCATTACCTCCTTAGATTCAAGGCAACTGGAACATAAGAAGGCTAAGTTCTAGCCCGAAGTCAGAGAGCTAGTAAGTAGCAGAGGTAAAATTCAAACTGGAGGCAGCCTGGCTCTCAACATCTGTGTTCTTATTCACTATGCCATGAGAAAGACCGAAAACTTACCCAAGAAGCCCAACAATTCACAAGCACGATAAATATAAAGATACCACATTTGGACCTACTATAATGAAACTGCAGGACATCAAACCAAACCTATGACATCTTAAAATCAGCCAGAGAAAAAATAAGGACTATGTTCAAAGAAGCAAGAGTTAGACAGCTGATTTCTCAAGAGCAACAATAGAAGCTAGAAGACAGAAAGATATATGTAATTGCGGAGGGAACACAACTTATCAGTCTAGAATTCTATCTCCTGAGAAATTAACCTTCAAGAAGAGAACAAAGTAAAACTTTTTCAAACTAATGGACACTGAGAAAATCTGTTACCAGCAAATGTTCAGTGCAGGAGACTCTAAAGGGTGGACTTTAAGCAAAAGAAGTGATTCCAGATAAAAGATCGAGGATGCATGGAAGAAGAGCAAAGAAAGTCGGACATGCATATAATAAATGTGAACAAACTAGGACTGTATAATACAAAATTAACAATGATGCCTTGTAGGTAAAACAAAAAGACAAGAAATACAAGGTAAGGGCATAAGTCTGAGGTATGGTAAATGAGTCAAAAGTATTCTAAGACCAAGAAAGAAAAAAATGCCACTTACAAATAATATTGTAAAAAATATATATTATTGTCGACACAAAAAAAATCCAAAAAATCCATAAATTAATATTAGTAAGAATTTATCAAGTTTGATAGAAAAAATTAATATAAAAGGTTACATTTTATATACCAGGCACAACTAGAAAATCTTTAAAAAGATACCTTTTCAATAGTATCAAAAACTATATAGAAATATATCTAAAAAATGTGTTCGAGATACTAGATGAATTCATAAATTTATAAAATGTTACAGAAAGACAGGCCTATTTTAAATAGCACAGGCCTACACCATGTTCATAGATTGGAAGATTCAATAGTTAGTTAAAAGGTGTAAATTCTTCCCCAAACTGATCTACGGATTCAATGCAATTCCAATAAAGAATTCATGAGTTTTTTTTAATAGAACTTGATAAGCTGATTTTAAATTCAATGAAAGCATTATGAGCTAAAGAAAGCCAAGACCTTCTTAAGAACAAGGTGGGTGGGACTCGTGCTACCTGAGATCAAAACTCATAAAATTATCATCATGACAACAATGTAACATAAACCAGTGGGGCAGCATAGAGAGGCCAGAAATAGTCCCACATATAAATGGACAGCTGAGCAATGACAGATGGATGTGAGACAGCACATCAGTGAGAGGAAGATGGAGTTATCAAAATCAGTGCTGAAACTGGTTCTCAATATGAAAAAATGAAACTGAACCTTGCCTCATACCACATACAAAAAAATCACCCAGATGAAGACCTAAACATGAAATACAAAACTACAAACTTTCAGAAGAAAATAGAGCAAAGTATATTAATGACTTTGGAGTATGGAGAGATTTCTTAAGAACAACAAAAGCACAAACCATAAGGGAAAGAATGAGAAACCCAATTAAATTAACATTAAGAACTGGTCATCAAAAAAGATGTCATTTTAAAAAGTCAGAAGATAAACCACAAACTTGGGGAGGAAAATTTTGCAATACATGCAACCAAAAGGAACATTTAATATCCAGGACCCTCAAATATCAATTAGAACAAAAAAATAAACTAAAAGGAAAATGAGTTAGTCTTTAACATGCCCTTCACCAAAAAAGGAAATCTGAATGGCCAACAGATGGGAAAAGATGCTCAACTTCATTAGCAATCAAAGAAATGCAAATTAAATATACCAGTTTCAGATTCATCAGACTGGCTAAATTTAGGTATGTCAGTATCCAAGGTGAGCAAAAGCTATGAGGAATCTCAGATCCTGCTGGTAGGAATGTAAAACATAACCTGGAAATGAGTTCCATCCCTGGGTATATACTTAGAGAAACTCTTTTCCATGTTTACCAAGAGATACATACAGTGGTCAAAGCAATGCTGCTGCTCCTAGCAAAACACTGGAAACAATCCATCTAAGAACATGGATAAATTGTTTACATACAGACAACTTTATAGTAAAACAAATGGACTGTAACTAACTATACTTATCGATATGAGTAAAACCCAAAAACATGTTGAATGAAAGAAAATATACAGCATTATTGCAGTATATACAAGTTCAAAACTAAGCACAATTAAACAATATATTAAGGATACATTCGCAGGTTGTAAAACTATAAAGAAAAGCAAGGGAATGATTATCACAAAAGTCAGGAAAGTGATTACCTCTCGGGAGAGGGAAGAGGAGGCAATCGGAGAGGGACACATAGGAGACTTCTAAGGTACTGGCAATGTTCTATTTCTTAACCTGGGTGGTGGGTACATGGATGTTCACTGTATTATTAGTATGTAAACTGTAGGTATACATTTATACACTCTATATATTTCACAATAAAACAAGTTTCAAAGATATTGTTTTACTTGCAACTATTGATTAGGGAAAAGTTTGTAGACAGACGTTTACAGAAAAAAAAGCCAACACTTACCAGGGCTTCTTCATAGGGTTTATATTTCTCCAACTGCTGTAGTGCTTTGTTATAGTTCTGAATTACCGACTCTGGTATTGGGTCTTCTGACCATTCTTCATACTCTGCAAAAGTTGCCTCCATATCTATTGAAAGATGGATTCAGCCCCGTGGGTCTTGCTATTGGGTTTTATCAATCCAAACATAGATTAAACCATGAGTCTTGGGTGCCACTAACCCCTCCCACAACTGTGTTCATGACTCCTGTGACTGATCAAATCCTGAGATTTGAGATTTGGCCTTCACTCTGTCTCAAAGTACTGTCCCAGGAAGCCCAATCAATTAATCAGTCAGAGTAATGAAACTAATAGCAACGTTTTAACAACACCTACCTAGTGCCTGCCTAGGTTCTAACACTTCACATCCATTAACTCATTTGATCCTCACAACTGTATGAGACAGGTTCTACTGTGATCCCCATTTTGCAGTTGAGGAAGCACAAGCAAGCAGAGGGTTACATCAACTGTCTACAGTTAACCGCAGAGCAAGGTTGTGAACTGGCAGTCTGGTTTAAGGTTTTGCTCTATTCCCTATGCTATGCTGCCTCATGCTCGAATGAGATGAAATCTATAAGCCGGCTCCATTCTAGCCTTTTCAGTATGTCATCCAAGGATTTGACTGGAGAGCCACTTTATAATTTATTAAATCAAATCCAAATAAACCATGAAGTAAAAAGAGACATAACACCTGGGCGCAAGTAAAAAATAACCATGCCTAGGGAAGAAACAAGATGGCAGTGTCAAACTCTTCCCATGCTGGAAAAAAATCCTCCCAGCACTGCTCATACTCAAGCTCCACAACCTCAAAGGCTTGGCTTGCCAAAATATATTCACCCAAGAAGGAGCATCCTTACCAAACCCCCAAGAAATTCAGATACGAATACTTCCGATCGATGGTGGTCCTGGACCAAATCACCCCCACAGAAGAATGATATAGGCCCATGTAAAATCCTCATTCTGTCATGGAAGGTTACTCCTGAAGAGAAAATGCTCAGAATGGACTCTAATTCAATGAAGTTTCCCCAGAAAATACTGGGGGTCAGTTTCCCTATTTCTTTCAGAGACCTTCTCTCTCCCTCTCCAACAGTGTTGTACTTAGGAAACTGGGAGACAGGAAGTCTGGCTTCCAGTCCTGCCTCTGACTCTCACAACCCACTTGCGCATTAACAATTCATACATTTTTACCAATGGCCTCATCTACAGTGACACTATCCAGTGAGAATAAGAATTCCAGCCACACTTGCCTCATGGGATGTTTGGAAAGGTCTTATTACATGACATACCCCAAAGTGTTTTGAAAACCACGAAGGACTGGCTGTTGACGTGTCAGTTTCTCTTACCGTAGAGTGGGATCGCCAATTGTCGCCGGAAGAGACTGTGCACTTTCTCCAGCTGTGAATCAAAGGTTTGTTCCCGGTCAAAAGGGGAAAGGAAGCCAGCTATGGGCTAAAGAAGCAAATTCGTAGTAAATGACAAACTTTGGTTCTTCCTACTTCAAAAATTATTTCAATACATTTCTACTTCAAACTAAAAAAATTTTATGACCTCTTATACATGAGGTATTGTGCCAAATGATGCAAGAGGTAAAAAAAAAAAAACAAATGTTATCTCTGCTACTAAGCAGTTATGATGGGGAGAAAGTGAGAAGGAATACAAGAAACATATCCAAATGAGACAGAAAAAAGATTATGTATAAAAAGCAAAGTATCAGAAGTATCAAAGTGTGGCTTGCTTTCAGCTGGTTTTCAGGGCTGTTTTGTTGTTGTGAAGGGAGGAAACCAGGAAAGACTCCTGGAGGAGCTGGCATCTGGGATGTGTCTTGCTGGCTCTCCAGAGGGCAGTGAGAAAAGCAAACTGACTCCCAGGTGAAGGAACATTATGAATAAAAGTACAGTGGCCGAAAAGTGCAAGAAAGTTGAGGGGAGTATGGGAGCAGAGTCCATACAGGATTATGTCATACTACAGAACGCCACAAATATCAGCCCAAGGAGTCAGCCCAGATGGCTTAGTTGAAGGCGCCACCACTGATTTTCAACAGGGACATAATCCAAGAAGGGACAAGGCTACTTTAATAATAATGATCTATTAGAGGGCTTCACTATGTACCAATAACAACTTTGCACACACACAAACACAGTGAAGAGGTGACACAAAGAAGGGGACTATAAAATTCTGTAAATTATAATCTAAAAAATGAAATTATGATAGGGTCAAATCTCACAGTTACTACTGGACATAATGTGGAGATGGCATGGGAGTGACATGGTTATTCTTATACATCATCCTGGAACCAGAAGCTAAAACAGTAGTATGTTTAAACATCAGGAACAAATTGTAGGGTCACCTGCTTTATTTATAGTCAAAGAAATCATTCTTGCTATTCCACAACGACTGCTGATTTCATTTATTTTACTTCCCTAAGGGATTAGTGAAGATCATTTTGTTAACCATGTTCTTCCAAGAACACAAACAAAGACAGTCTCAACTATTCAAAGGCAAGCACTGGTCATGGAGACAGGGGCACTCACCCGGGCGGCTTCCACGATTGCACTCTCAAACTCCCGATAAGCCTCCCAGATGGCCAGTCCTTTGGTCATATGTAAACCGACAGATGAAAGAGCCCTTTCAAACACAGAGCGGACTTTCTCGAGGCCACCTTTCTGACCAATCCCACCGACTGAGTACTGGCCATATTCTAGCCAAATATTTGGACCTAAAAATGAGACATGTTCTATTAGATCAGGATATAAAATACCCAGATATCGAAAATGATGTATAACAAAAGAAATGTACCCAATCAAAAAAGCACTCATTCATGCAAAAAGGTTAAGAACATCATCAACAAGCACTCCAACTTACCTTTACTAATACTACAGCCTGAAAAGGAAGTATAAACAGTGTCCCTACTCGGCAGAAGCATTGAGATTTTACTGCATTAACAGTATACACCAGGTGGTAATATGTAAAAAGACCATGATTATAAAATTTTCTTATTAAAACTGAAAAAAAACAATAATAGATTTCAATAAAAATAGTTATAAATCTTAGTAGATCTTGAGAAAGATTTCAAAGCCTAGAATTTTTCAACTTTTTGATCCTGATTCATTTTAAGTCTGTTGATCAAAGAGAAAGAAAAAAATTACAAGCATCAATCCTATTACTAGAAATCTGTATTTTTAATGACGTTTAAACAACAACAAAAAGACCTGGTTGCCTTCTTTCACTCTTTTTAAACTTTTTATATACTCACTTGCATAGCTTTAAGATCAGACTAATGAATTAAACTCTATGAATTTAATTCAATAATTAAATTCTTACTGTACTCATTTTGCCTAAACTCTATGAATTTAATTCAATAATTAAATTCTTACTGTACTCATTTTGCCTATACTTTTCAAAGATCCGAAAATAATATGTAAAATAAAAATACTAGAAAGATAAGCAAATTTGAGAATTACTATGTTTTCCTGAGGCTTGCTTTTTCATTGAAGTAGGTTTATTTCAAGAACTTAGACAAAGTTTGTTAGCTATTCTGTTTTCGCTCACCAATATAAAGCTGCCAGATGGCCTGCAAAATAAAAATGGAAATGAGCTAGCTCTTGGAGCTGACGCCCTTAGCGAGGATAAGTCAAGTCTACAGATGGTCTATGAAATGGCTCCTCCTCTCAGAGAAGGAAATTTTCAATAGATTACATCATAGCTCCTCCCAACATTTAAAAAATCTAGAGGGGGCAAATATTTTGAACAATATTTTAAACTCTGAAAACCCACGGGTACTGAGTCCACAATGACTATGAGAGGCAAACGAAGAATCACTGGATCCTATGTTCTAAAACAGGCACAAAGCCTCTGCACACAGTTCCCCCAAAGACTGAGGAATCTAGTTTTCAAAATCTCTGAAGAGTCAAAGGGCTGTAGCCATATTTTATTAGTGGTACAATGAACACCTCTTGGACAGCTTAAAATCAATACTGAGTACATGCCGAGAAATAAAGGCTATATATACCTGGCATCTTCAAATGTGCAAAAATATAGTTAAAAACTAAGACACATTCAAAAGTGGCTTTTGAGCATTCAAAACAAGTGACACAAAGCTCTTAAAAATAACACAAGGACCCCTTGGGCTCCCATTCAAAACTACTTATGAGACGATCTAAGAAGTGTGCTTATCTGGTTTCCTGACCCACAGCAGCCCTGAAGCAGCTGGTGGAAAGGGAAGGCACGCTGACATCAGCATTAAGTGACAGTCGAGGCCTGATGGCAGAGATGACTGCAAAACTATAAAGGACCGAAAACATTACAGTCTGGGAAGGGACAAAAGATCCTTAGAGAAAGAGAACTGGTGCCGTTATCATGATGACTCTGAAACACTAAGAAAGCGGGTTACAGGATCCACAGAAAACATGGGAACATCATGCATTTGGAACTCTGCCAGAGATTCTAAGAGGCTACATGGGTGGAATCAGAGCAGAGGCACAAGGACAGCTTTTAAAAGCACATTCGGTATAATTTTATATTCACGAAATGCCTATTATTTTTATTTTCAAATTATAAAAAGTAAAAAATTAATCAATTCTTCTTGGCTGGTAAAGGTACATGAAAAATTCTCTTCCTCAGAGCGGTCTACCCTCTAAGTATTGATGCTTCTCACAAACAGAAAAATGCCCATAGTGGAGAGTGAGGAAAATCAGGGAAGAAAGACGTTTAATTTAAAAGAGTGAATTTTTTTTAATGCTTTTTAAAAACATTTTGTCCATAGCATTGTCTGATGTGGTCCCCAATGTATGCAAAGAAAATATTTAAAGAATTACATAATCAACAGGCGAGGGTAAAGGGACTTAAAGGCAACTTAGGCATCTACATTTCACTTGCACTGCAAAACATCAGCACCAGCAGACAAAGGAGAGATCTCTGTGGCATGAGAGGGTTCTGTAATTCAACTGCAGTGGCAACTACCTAAATGTACATTTGGGATAAAATTTCACAAAACTACACACACATGTTGTAAGATCAATTTTCTGGTTTTGATTTTCTACATCAGTTTTAAGATTTTGGAGGAAACTGGATAAGTGAGTATTCTGCGCTAGTTTTGCAATTTCCTATAAATCTATAGTTATTTTAAAATGAAAAAGGCTTTTGTTCATTCTTTTAATATTAAAAAAAAGGCATGCTGTCCAAACTTCTAAAAACTCATTTAATGTGTAAAAGGTAACTTTTAGTCATTTGGAAATACCTGTAAGTTCTTGCCAGATAAATGCTGGGTGTGAGTATAATCATTTACTTACTACAAATATTTCTTATATTTATCTACAAATATTTCTTATATTTATACATACCTCTGCAATATTGCATGCTGGGCTCCAGACCACCACAATAAAACAAATACTGCAATAAAGCAAGTCCACAATTTTTTGGCTTCCCAGCGTATATAAAAGTTATGCTTAGTCTATACTTAGTCTATGAAGTGTGCAATAGCATTATGTCTAAAAAAACAATGGACACATCTTAATTAAAAAATACTTTTTTGCTAAAAACTGTTAACCACCATTTGAGGCTATTGGAAAAATAGCACTGATAGACTAGTCGATGCAGGGTTGCCACAAAGCTTCAATTTGTAGGAAAAAAAAAAAACCTGCAATATCTGTGAAGAGCAATAAAACAAAGCACAATAAAACAACGTATGCCTGTATTTTAAAACCAAATATCCTCAATTAAAAACCACAGACCATGGTAACTGAATTCAAATCTTTCTAATTGCTAGACAAAAGCTCTCTTTTCCGGGTAATAGCATCTCATAATACAATCCACAAGAGCAGAGACTGATGGTAGATAACACTGCCAGACACACTTGGAAAAGTCCAGAGGGAACTTACAAATGTAATCCTTCACAGCTTTCTCAAAGAGGTCGTACACGTGCTCTCTGTCCAGACCGTCCAGGGCCATGCTGATCTCGTCATGCAGCCACTCCAGCCAGAGCTCTACAAGACAACAGCACGTCCTACATTACCACCTCCCTCACCAAAGGCAGGGCAGAAAGCAGGAATTTTACTGAGTCACCAACATGCCAATCTTTCCTCCATCTTATACAACCTGGCACAGTTCAGACATTCATTTCTTAAAACCAAGCACATAAAAGGTTTCTACTTCCAAATAAGATTAAATCACTAAAATCATAACATCCTACACCTGTTAAGCATTTTGTATTTTGCAAATTCTGTGTTTATAAAAGCAGCCTGCTGAAGTGTTACCTTCAGTCAAAGGAAAGATCTCACTCATCTTCTGGCGGGCCATCCTCACTTTGGCAAGCTCCCCTTCCAGTCGGAGCAGCCGGATCAGGTCCACATGGCAGTTGTAGTCATAGACATTGATAGACAACTAAAAGGAAAAGAAACAGAAGTTAAATTTAAAATGCCATCCTCAAAATAACTTAGCTTTTTTCACCACTGGTGACAATGCACATGTCTACCACAAACAAAATAAATGTGCTATCTGGGAGAGCCTCTGAAATAGAAAGGCAACACTTACCCTCAGGAAAAGGAAGAAAAAAAAAAATCAATGAAATGAGGCTTTTGATAATAATCATAAAGTTCCCTCAAATCTGTTACAATTCCTATCAGAACAAACTTAGGTTCTCTTTGAAATACAGGAAACATTCTAATGAAACAAACAAACAAACACAAAGTGTGACCTCAGGCAAGTTATTAACTTTTCTAAGTCTCCATTTCCTCATCTATAAAATGGGCTTACCACTTAGATTGTAGCTCATAAGGTTCTCATGAAGATTTTAAATTTAGTAACATGCTTTAGTGCATGTCAGGTATATAACAGGTAACAGCTCTTTTCTTTTACTAAATGACAGAGAGAGGAGGAAGATGAAGAAGGGGGATACGGCGGAGGACGAGAGGAAAGGAGAGGAGGGGGGAGGAGGAGGAAGAAGAAAAGGAAGAAGAAGATCCATATTGGCAAAAACAAAAATGTCAACAGATTGGTGTCTGCTGAAGCCAAGTGACAGCACACAAGTTTAACATTTGAAACTTTTCAAACTAATAAAACAACAAATTCAAATAATTGCTTGAAAAGTTATCAAACATCTGAGACAAAGGAAAACTAAAAATTTCTTACTAGCAGACTTACTCCTGAAGAATAGCTAACAAAAGTTCTTCAAACAGAAAGTGATCAAAGAAATCCTGAAGCATCAAGAAAAACAGAAAGAACAGAAAAGTGGGTAAGTACAATAAATGATTCTTCTCCTTGTGAGTTTTCTAAATTGTATGTGATAACTTAAACAAAAATTTTAAGACTATCTGGTACCCAAAACAATGATAATTAAAACAGGGAGGGCAAAGGGGCATAAACGGAAGGGAGATTTCCACTCAGTAGTAAACACGAATACCATGTAAGCCAAATATACTGAAATACCCAAAGCGACCATTACAAACTATACAAAGCAATAACCTAAAAATCATTATAAATAAACGAAGATGGAATCCTAAAAAATGTTCAAGTAAACCCATATGCAGCCAAGAAAAGAAAGAGAAGAAAACATGAAATGAACAGAAAATATCTTTAGTCCTAACATATCAATAATTACATTAAATGTCTAGAATCTAAATATACTAATTAAAAGGCATAGAATGGCAGAGTGCATAAAAACATGACCCAATTGTATGCTGATTATAAGACACTCACAGCAAATTCAAGGATGTAGGTAGGCTGAAAGTAAAAGGATGGAAAAGATATGCCCTATAAACAATCAAAAAGCAGTAGAAATGGCTACATTTATAACACATAAAGTAGACTCAGAGCAAAGAAAATTATCAGACATAAAAAGGGACATTACATAACAATAAAAGAATCAACCCACCAGGAAGACAAAACAATCTTAAATGTGTATGCACGAAACAACAGAACCTCAAAACAGATGAAGCAAAAACTGACAAGAGTTGAAAGAAAACAGACATCTACAATTATACTGGGGACTACAACATCCCTCATTTCAGAAACTAAAACTAATAGATGATCAGCAAAGATATAGAGCTCAACACCACCATCAACCAACAATGACCTAACTGACATATATAGAACAGTCCACTCAACAATCAACAAAATACACATTTTTTTTCTTAAGTGCCCTTGAAAAATTCACTGAGACCATATCCTGGGCCATAAAACAAAGCTCAAAAAATTTAAAAGAAATGAAATCATAAAGAGTACATTCTCTGATCACAAATCAATAACAGTGGGACAATCTCTAGACACATGGAAAGGAAGCAATATACTTCTAATAATCTGTGGGTCAAAGAGGAAGTCTCAAAGAAAAATTTAAAATACACAGGACTAAAAATGAAAATACAGCAAGTCGAAATAAGTGGGATACAGCTAGTAGTGTGTAGAGGAAAACTTATAGAACTAAAAATTATACATGACTAAGTGGGATTTGTTCCAGGTACACAAAGCTAGTTCAATCTTCAAAAATCGATCACTATAATCTACTATAACAACAGCCTAAAGAACAAAAATCATGATTATCGGTTGATACAGAAAATGCACTACTTCACAATATCCAATAACCATCCATGATAAAAACTCTCAGCCAATTAGGACCTTATTGAAATTAAAACATTTTACTCTGTCACACTCTGTTAAAAGGTTGCGAAGACAAGCCACAGACCGAAAAAAAAAAAAAAAAAAAAAAACATATTTACAAAGCACATATCTGACAAAGGACTAATATCTAAAATACATAACTCCAAACTCAACAGTAAAAACCAAAGACTCCAATTAGAAAAGGGGCAAAACACACGAACCAACATATATATCCAAAGAGGACACAAAGACTGCAAATAGGTGCACACAAATAGGATTCAACATCATTAGCTATCAGGGAAATACCAATTAAAACCACAATGAGACATGATTACATATCTAACAGAATGGCTAAAATAAAAAAAGAGTAACAACACTAAATACTGGAGAAGATGCAAAAAAACTGCATCACTCATACTGATGATGAGAATATAAAATGCAACTCTGGAAAACAGTCTGGCAGTTTCTTATAATATTCAACATACAACTACCATATCACCCAGCAAATGCACCCTTGGGCATTTTCCCAGAGAAATAAAACCTATGTTCACACAAACACCCTATATGAATGTTCATAACAGCTTTATTCCTAACAGCCGAAACTGGAAACAACCCAGATGTACTTCAATGAGTGAATGATTAAACCAACCATGGTACACCCACATTATGGAATACAACTCGGCCATTAAAAAGGAATGAACTACTATACACACGATGCAGATGAATTATGAGGGGAATTACACTGAGTGATAAAAAGCTGATCCCAAAAGGTTACAAACTATATGAATCCATTTTAGATAACTTTTTTTTTTTAGGCGACACAACCCTTGGTTGACCTTACAGATTACAAGGATCTTGTCATCTTAAAATCCTTTATTTTTTATTATTTTTACGCCTATAGCTCCTGGTCTTCCTAAGTGGTCTCCCATCCAAGTAATAACCAGGCCCGACCCTGCTTAGCTTCTGAGATCAGACATGATCGGGCTTGTTCAGGGAGGCATGGCTGTAGACTAGATAACATTCTTGAAATGAAAAAAATTCTAGAAATGGAGAACAGATAGTGGTTGCCAGAGGTTGAGAACTGTGGCTATAAAAAGGCAACAGGAGGGCAAGACACCTGTGAGGGAAGTGATCAGTGTGCTGACTGTGCCAACGTCAATATCTGGGTTGTGACGTACTAGAGTTTTAAGAAAGGAACCATTAGGAGAAACTGAGTAATGGGTACACAGGATCTGTATTATCTCTTACAACTGCAGGAAAATATACAGTTACCTCAGAATGAAGAGTTTAATTTCTTAAAAAAGCTTTCATCCAAGTTGGAGTACAGGGTTACCTTAAGTCTACACGGAGACTAAACTAGTATCTACTCTTCCAACATATGCCACATTTCAGCAATAAATATGTCCCTCTCCAGTGATGGCAGATTACCTATACCTCATCCAATTAACATTCTACCATCTGATACTGTACTCTAAATAATCTAGATATTAGCTCCTGCATTAAAATACACATAGGAGGATTTGTCTTACCAGGTAGCAAGTCTCGGCAATAATGAGTTAGATGGTCAAAGTGACAGAGGATAGACAAACTGGCCAATGAATAAAGAGAGTGCCCAGAAACAGCCTCAAGCAGGTAGAAAATAGATGACAGGGGGTAGCACTTGCTGTATCCACTAAAATGAATTCATGACCCATGACCACAACTCCAGTGTGAAAAACACATTTACACAGTTCAACAGTGACAATGTGCCTTGTAATGTATTTATAATGGCAGGGTGTGGGAGAAGCTATAGCGATCCAAATGCCAGAAAAACTGATAAACTGTGGGATACTCACACAATGGTATGCATAACATGGATGAATCTTAGAAACCCACTGCTAGGTGGAAAGCAGTCCCAGAAAATTATGTATAGCCTGATAATAAGACTTTCAAAAAGCTCAAAAACAAACAGAAGTAGACAATACATTGCTTAGGGATGCATACTTCAGTGATAAAATGATACATGTTCTTAAACAGAAGGAAGCACAGAAGATTCAAGAAGTTACCTGGGTTTTAGGAGGGACAAGGGAGGAGGCTCAAGGTAGGACAAGGGAACAGGGGAGAAGTCACAGCACAGGTACATGCAACAGTACTAATGAAGTTCTAACTCTTAGACAAGTGGTGGGTAAGTGTTCATTTGATTACCATGTTTTATAATTCACAGATGTGAACTGTGTTTGTATATATCAATTCATATACAAAAAGATAAAGAAAATTCAATAACAATTAATCTTTTAAAAACTCTTAAGACCCTTAGCTACGTTCTCCTGCTTGTGATTTATAAAATTTGACAAGCTGAACTTATCCCATGATTACATGATGGTTTGAAAAAGGACTGGACTTGGTCAAGATACAAGTGTTCTACTCTCCACTGGGCCTCAGTTCCCTCACTTGTACCAGGAATGAGCTAGAGTAAACCTCTGGTTTTCAAGGTTGTCAAAACACAGTTTCAAAATTGTCAAGTGCGTCACACAAGTGATAATAGTTATACAAGTTAAGTTTGTGAAAGATGCACTTTCCTCATTAAAAAACATTCTAGGTTCACTCTGTCACCCCACCACTCATAACTCACCTGGGTCTGAATGTGTTTTCTGAGCACAAAGACGGGGTCAGAGTCCTTCCTATTTAGTGTGAGAAATGTCTATGCAAGTACCTACCCCTCACATGAATACCATGTGTAGGTCAGAAGAAAAAGGTATAAAAGTCACTGAAGTAAAGTAACTGCCTCTAAGAAGATTCTTGGTCTAAATTTCTGATTTTTAGGCCCAAATTATGAAGATAGTATATATGGGGAGGTGCTCTGAATGTCTGATTTAAAAGAAACATTTCCAATGTTTCAGCACTGGAAATGCTGGAAATCAGCAATGACAACTGAACACATATGCTGGCCTATTCTGATCTCAGATCATTAACAACAAAGGATGCTTTACACAAAGAGGCGGCTTAGTCAGTGAACAAAATGACTGCTAACTGATTTCCTAACCCTCTAACAGCACAACCTAGAACGGGGGTGGAAAATAACAGAGAGGGTGGTGAAACGACACACTGCTACAGTCATAGGAAAGGCAGGGAATGGAGAACGGAGCAGGCCTTGGCATAGCACCTACTATGTTTCAAACTCTGCCGGGAGCTTTACACACATGTCACAACAGCCTCCTGAGGGAGGCACTATTACAACTCTTGTTTTACCAACTGGGACACCACAGGCTAAGTGGGCTGAAATAACTTGTAAGGGACCATGAGATGCCACTTTCGGTTTCAGGACACAAAGACTAATAATAGGAAATCTTTGCTTTTGTTACACAGCCAGATACCACAGGTAACTTGTAAGCTTTCGTGAAACACACTTAGGGATGACAACTGGAATTTGCAGATATGGCACCCGAGTCTTTCACAGGCCTACCTGGAAGTTAGTTGTCATTATGCTCCACCACAAGAGCAGTTACAGCAGGAACTAGAAGCTATGGTATTAGGATGAGTTGGGAGAGAAGTGTGGAAAAATCAGGTCAATTTATAGACCCCAGGACAAAGAGGATAAAGCCAAAAGCTCTTCAATTCACCTCACTTGCCAGATCTCATCCTGTGTGGCCACTTTCCAAGCTCCATCTCACCCTTAGTGTCTTGAGGCAGGGAGGCAACTGCAAAACACCAGTACCCAGGAAACCTCTGCTCAGACCCATCTTCCTCTCTAGTAAACTGGGTACCCTACATCAAGGACTTGATCTCTCTGCTTCCGAGTCTCCCCTTCCACTAAAACAGGTAATCCTATTTCCCTTACCTCACAGAATGGTTAAGATCCAAGTGAGCTAACGGTTCACTAAAGGCCCAAGGCTAGAAGACTCAAGAACAGACCCCCATCAGGACAAGAACACATGGCACACAATGCATTTCCTGAATGAATAAAAGACTGAACTTCGGCATACTTATTTATAAAAAGCAGAAATGGTAACCACCTGCCTACCTCACCTGGTTCCTTTGACATTTAGATGTGATGATGAGTGGGACAAGCTACACCAATGGAGAATATCGCTATTTCACAACAAAAATACCACTGCTAGAGAGGACATTATAAGGAACTTTACACCCAGCAAGGTTGAGTAACATGGGTTAACAACTTCACATCACTAAGCGATTTCATATCCAGTGTGGCACTTGGTCCACGACCTTGAAAAGTTCAAATCCCCTCTCTTATAAGTGACTTTAAACACATCATCTCATTTGTTCTGAGCCTGTTTCCTCTTAGGTAAAATGAGAATGTGCTCAATCTGTTTGCCCCTCAACCCACTCCACCCTCTCCTCCCTGTCCTGTGCCCTGTTGTGTGGACCACATAGGTGAGATCACTGGCTCTCTTGCTTCCAGCAGAGCTGCCCAGCAGAAGGCAGCAGCAGATGTTTGGAGAAATAGAGGCAAGTCAGGGTATTTCTTCCCCTACCCCAATCCCTGATGGGAAACGGGCTGCAACCCCTGTCCAATGATCTCAGCTTCTCTAGGTGCCCTCTCTACACAACTATTCAGGAAAACAGGCCACTCCCCTCACCTCTACCAAATGGTAGACACAGCTCCTGCTGTTAAGGACCCTGGGGTCCTAAACCTTCACCCCTGATTTCCCTGCCTACATCTTTATAAACACGGTAGTCTCTTTATTAACCTTTTCTCAAATTATCCTAAAATGAACGTGCCTCTATTTCCCGCTGGTACCCTGGATTATACAGGAATTACACCTGGCTACAACTGCTGTTATACAACAATTACATGACGCAGGAATTGTTGCTCCTAATTTAGGGTTAGAAGAAGCCGAGGCTCAGAGAAATTAAGAAATCCGCCCAAGCACACACAGGTGTGGAACATCTACAAGTGGGGCCTTAGCCTCCATACGTTGAAATCTCTACCTATTTCTACTATCATCCTTACGGTCAATAATTTCCTACCACACCATACTTCACCACCGTCATCATTTCTACAGTGAAATAACTCTTGCAAAGAGAATCTAATTTCTACTGCTGGACATAGTTTAACGGTGTGGGCAGGAGTGGGAGTTATGGAGTCGGCTCGAAATTCAATGCCACTTACAAAAAGTATAATTCTGAACAAGGGAATTCACTCCATGAGGAGCCTCAGTTTCCTCCGGTAAAAAAGGGAATGCACTACTTCCTCCCTGGGTCGCTGCGAGGGTTCAATGGGATAACGCTTGCAAAGTACCAGGCAAGCAGTAAGCGCCCAAATGACAGGAGCTACGGTGATTAACAGCGGTTTTGCGGCCCTGGCGGCTTTATTGCAGCTCTGGACCCGAGAGGCGGGCCGGGGCCTGGGAACCTGAGAGGAGTCCACTCCCTACCCCCGAACTCACCTGCTCCTCCAGCCGCTCGATCTCCAGCTGGTTCTTCTCCTCCTCTTCGTCGTATTCCCACTCGTACTCGCCGGGGGAGCTCTCCGCTGAGGAAGCCATGGCGTACTCATCTCCATCACTCTCGCTCACGCCTTCCTCCTGCTGGTCCCATCCTGGCCCCGTGGTCTTGTACGTTGCAGTGGCCACAGTCCGCGATGACGCTTTCTTCCTCGTCCTAGCTGCCTTAACCTCATCCTCCTCGCCCTCAGCCTTGGGCGCCGCCTTGGGCTCAGTCTCTGGTTCTGAAACCGATGTTGCGGCCGCCGTCGCCATCTTGCGATTCCACTGACTCCCGGGTTTTCACTCGGCCGCCGAAGACCCGCTGAAGTACAAGCTGCCCGCGGCGCGCGCCTAATCAAAACCTCACACTCTTACCAACTAAAAGGAAAACGTGAACCTCGGATGACGAGAAAAGCTCTAAAGATACGCAACTCATGTTATTTTGTATACTTGTACAAGTTCTCATAAGGAAAAAAACCCACTAACACGGCATGTGTTCCGGCTCAACCTCGGACAGAAGTTGGGTCTTTGGACAGGAAAGAGAAGCCATTAGAGGAAGTCGTAGCGTGAACGTGATGACTGTTGTTAAGGGTTTGCCGCCATCTTGAGAAGGTCAAAATGATTATGGGAATAAACGCTTTCCTTGCCTCCTAGTTTAACCTAGCGCGTGGTTCAAGTCTCCCCAGCAACTGAGCCTCAAACGCAGTGAAAACTCCAAGTTCTCGGAGATCGATTGCACAATTCATGAGTAAAACCTATTTCCCAAAGAGATTCCTCCCCTTTATGTAATGTCTGGTGCTTAGCAGGCGTTAAATACACGTATGAGTTTTCTCTTTATATAAGATTATATTCTGCAAACCAATATTAATAAATTACATTACTAAGCATTTAATTAGAAACTTAATGGCCAGGTAGTGCCATATAAATTGTAACAGTTTCTACGTAAAAATACTGGCATAAACGCATTTTTTAAAAAATCAGAACATGGTGTTCATTTCCTTAATTAAGATTCCCATTTTTGAGGTAGGAAACAGAGTATTTATTGCCTTTCTCCTTTATTAGAAAGCTTAATGAGGCAGGAGGTATGTGTTTTTCTTCAGTTGGATCCCAAAGCCTAATGTCTAAACGCCTTGATAAATGGTAGGTACTCAACACATATTTGTTCATAAATGAAAGAACTGTCTTTGAATTACGTAGTACAAATGAGAAGATCGAGGCTTACAAAGCTAGTGTCATTTGCCTAGGGTCACACAACCAGGAAGGAGCAGAAGCGGAATTCTAACTCAGGAATGTACGAATTCGAATCCCAAAGGAATCTAACAACTCTGAGGAACCCTGCACAAATTACTAAACCGCTCCGAACCTCAACGTCTTAGCTGCAAATTAGGGTTAAGAGATGTGAACCGGTAGATCCTCAGCGCCGCAATCTGGCAGTGGACTTCGTGAATGCAAACCTGGGTTCTGCACTCCAGCCTGCGGTCCTCTTAGATTCAACACCCAGCACCGAGAACGTGCCCTCCAGCAACCTCAGACCTACCCGCTCCGCGTCCCGCGCCCGGCGCCCCGCCCGCCCAAAGGGGGCGTGATCAAGGCGGGGCCAAGGCACCAACACGTGCACAAAGCGGAAGGGCGCAGGCGCAATGTCCTGGTGATGTAAGGGCGCGCGCTCCTAGCTAGAAGCCGACTCACGGGCGCGCTCCGCGCCTCGGTTTCGCGTTTGGCCTGCGCAGGCGCAAGCCCGCAAGATGGCGGCGGCGGGAGCTGGCCATCTGAGGCGGGCGGCTTCAGCTCTGTTGCTCCGGAGCCCGCGCCCGCCCGCTCGGGAGCTGTCAGCTCCGGCCCGGCTCTATCACAAGAAAGTAAGGTCCGGTAAGGGGGCGCGCGAGGTCCGCACTGATCAGGGGGCGGGAATGCGAGGCCCTAGCCTCGGAAAGAGCGGCCACGGGATTCTAGAGTGGCCACGGGATTCTGCGCGGCCTGTAGAGCCCCCACTATGGCCAAAGGTAGAGACAGCGCCCAACCCTGGATGGAGGGGCTCCCCGCTCTCATGACTTTGTCTCAACTAACTTTCCCTCGCTGCGCAGTGACACAAACCGCGCGTGAAATAAAAATGACTGCCCGGGGGCCCAGCTACTGGCTGTGATGCCTGGTATCCCAGCCTTTAAACATCCCAACAGCCCAGGAAGGAGGGTCCTGTTATGACCTGCCAGCTTGACTCCTAGAACGAACACACACACACACACACACACGGGGGTGAACTCCGGCTTCAGCCAAGCCACTGCCCTGGCCAAGTGACCTTGGGCAAGTCACTACCCTTCGCGGAACCGTTTCCCCATTTGTAAAATAGGTATATCAGCAGCTCCCTACATGAGATAATGCTTAGGAGTCCTCGACGTGATGTCTCGCACATGGAGGCCATCTATGGTGCCGCTGTTGTTATTCTTGTAGGAGCTCATAGCCTCCGAGTGGAGTCAGACACGTAACCGGCAGTCATAATGTTTTTATTTTCGTTTTGTTTTGGGACTGAGGGCGGATGTAGGGATTGGTATGTAGTTTGCGGCCCTTGCCTTTCGGGGAGGTAGAATCCCTTAGATGTGAGACTCTCGCACTTGGGAAACAACTAAAAATTGCGGTAAATCAACATGGGGCAAAAAGTCCAGATTGGATATTATCTTGTAGGTCCTTGGGCTTGGAGTCAACATCTATCATCGGATCGGTATACTTAAGGCTAACTGGTAAACAAACCTCAAAGCCTTCTCTGTGCCAGTTTGAATAGGTATTTTTTCTCTTCTGGCTTCAACACGTTGCCAAGGACTTTGCTCCTCCTCCCCCCAGGGGTGTGTTTTGTTGACAGTACATGCTGAATGAATTCGAGCTGGCAGCCTCCGAGCCACCAGGGTGCGCTGCTGCACCAGGGCGATTTCAGGACGCTGAAACGGATGAAACTGATATTTATCATGTACAGAACCAGACACATTCCATGGCATTGTTCCTCTGTAATAGTCTCCTTGAGGCTTCAGAGAAAACCTTCAATTTATGGACCATAATTATTTTTAATATTTTAATAGTAATCATTATTCTTTGAGAATGGATTTTATTTGGAAATAAAAATGTATGAGCCCAAACCTGGCGGCTTAGGTGGGTAAAGGTCAAGTAATTACATGTGGTTAAAAACCCTATGGAACTAAGACATGATTTTGCCGATTTGAGATCCAGTATCTCAAATCTCTGAAGATAATGGAAAGGAGATACAAAAAGACTTTGGATCACAAATGGTTCTCCTTGACATGAGTGTAAGCCTTCTCACCCAGGTGAAGTTCAGGTTGCTGACATCAAGGAGCTTACCATCAAGTCAGTGCCAAAAAAAGAGTGATAATGATTTCTCTTAACTCTCTCATTTCAGGTTGTTGATCATTATGAAAATCCTAGAAACGTGGGGTCTCTTGACAAGACATCTAAAAATGTTGGAACTGGATTAGTGGGGGCTCCAGCATGTGGTGATGTAATGAAATTACAGGTACAGATGGTTTTCACCTTTGATGGTAATAATTGGTATCCCAATGCTTATACAATGCTTCATAGTTTACAAATCATTTGCACATACACCATTTCATTCAATCTCCATTTTGATTCCTATGAGATAGGATGAGTCAGTGTTACAAATGATTAGAAATGAATCCTAATTCTCCTGCTAGTGTACTAGTCGGACCCTTTCTGATATAGTAAACTGATCTCACTTTTCTACTCACTGAATCAGCTTGAATTCCAACTTCAGCTAAGTAAAAGTTTTTGTGAATTTTACTGACAACCGTTCAGCTAGCAATCCCCAATGAAATAAGAAATGCAATAAAACAAACCTCCCCCAAATTGGAGACAGCAGGAAGGTAGTGACTGGCATTCTGGGTAAACTGTAGCTTTATCCACAATCTGCTTCATCATGGTGGGTGGGCAGCTTGCCAGAGTCCTTATGTGTATCTTAGAAAATAGAAACAAGGCAGGATGGAACCACTAAACTAAATATAATTTGGTCCCCAAGAAAAAAGCATTAACTAGAGACCGTTAGTGCAGTCTCTCCCAGTATTTTAAGAGGCAGATTGACCCAGCAGCCATGAGAACTTTATAGCCAAAAAATAGGTTAGGGTTGCAAAAAAAAAAAAACAAAACAAAACAAAAAACTGGGGAGGGGGCATGTTTTTCAGCTGATCTTTACCAGGTAGGCCTATATAATTCTGTATAGTTGTTCCTACGTTTAACTTTTTGTCACTGAACTCTTTGAAACAGAGCAAACTCAGTAATTAATGCCGAAACTTAATGTGGAAAACAAGACCAAAGCTCCTGGGGAGAGCCCCAGTGAACTTCCATGAGTGCCAGGTTCTACAGCGTGATCTAACTCCTCTTTTCTAGATTCAAGTGGATGAAAAGGGGAAGATCGTGGATGCCAGGTTTAAAACATTTGGCTGTGGTTCTGCAATTGCCTCCAGCTCCCTAGCCACCGAATGGGTGAAAGGGAAGACGGTAAGGTTGCTCACAAATCTGAAAGAATTAAATCACATTCTCCACAAATCTGACTCTCAAATAAGGGAAAGGCAGGGGTGGGGGACTGATTTTTTCCTAAATGTTATTCTAAGAATTTCTTTTTAACATCTCTTACCCAGATTTTAATTAAATTCTTTTCCACATTGGAATTGTGGGTAATTTTGTTGTGTTTTTTTTAATTGGGAGTGGTTGTTGCTGATCATTTTTGTTTGGGGGTTTGGGTAGTGTTCTGTTTTTCATTAAATAGGAAAAAAAAAAAAAAAGTCCTCTCCTCTCCATCTAACAAAATAGAGCTGAAAAGAAATCTTTGGCTTTCTCCAAGGTTGCTCACGTTGTTATAATTTCTTAGGTGTCTCAGCCATGTCAGACGGTATTGTGTAGTGGCTTTTCTTGTTTATTTCCTCCCATTGTATTTCAGGAAGGACTGCAGGTAGCTTACAAGGATTCATGAAATAACAAACTGGCCTGCGCTAAAAGAGGGATTGAAGAATCAAAAACAGTGAGGATAAGGACAAAGTGAACAAATATTATCAAAATAATCCAGGTGGCTAGTTGCAGACCCTCTGAGAGGTGATAAGAAAGGCTGGAACATCTTTTCCATCCTTTTCTCTGCCACAGCCTCTTTTCCCAGCAGCTGCAAAAGTAGAAGATCCCAAAACCAATGAAGAGCTGGACTTTCTAAAATCTAGTCATCATTATAACCTCTCAGAAAAGTCACACTCCAGGGTGTTTATCTTTGTGGCCCCAAGGGACCAAGTTCAGGGAGCTGAGTCATGGAGAAGTATGCTTGGGGAGCTGGGCGGCTCTAGCAAAGCGGTATGCCAGGCCACATGTCACCTGCTTCCTGTGGCTTGGGGTCTTCTGGCTTAGCCAACTCCTCTGGCCCAAGGAAGCACAGACCTGACCTGTTCTGACAGGAAGTGGTTCTAACTGATTTGTCAAGAACTGTCCACAGGAAAAGGGAAGATGAGACAAAGTACCTGTGCTTCCTTTCCAATTCTCAACCCTTAGAAGATTATGAATTGTGATCAGAAAATGGAGGAAGAAAGCCTTTCTTTGACCTTGAGATCCTCCCATCTGAGTGTCCAGGAACAAAACTTAAATCATAATTCAGTGGAGTTAGAGGAATTGGGAAATTGGGGGATAGGTGAGGCAACCTGGCTTTCCCTAAGGCAGTGGGATTCTGTTCCATGTGGGTAAGGAACTGGCTGCCTCATGTTTTACCCTCAGGCTCTTAGCCAAACCCCAAGCATCATCTTCAGTCTGTGTGGAGGAAATATTCTCCTTTCAGCAGAGGATGAGCCTAAAGAGCTCTCATCTCAAGACCTGTCTGGGCTACTGCCAGAGTGCCATGGGCCTATCTAACATGTCCCCAACCTCCCTAATGCCATTCGGCACTTCTCGTCGAGGAGTCTTATTCTAAACATTTCGTATAAGCATTGGAGAAGCTGACATTTACAAAATCAGCATTGGAAATCACCGCCTTTTTAAAAGAGACTCATGTTGCCGACTTCCAGCAGATCCCTGAGAGATTTCTCACAGGTCCTCCCAGCCTGTGGAAGCATCTTTGCTGGTCTTTGCCGGCCTTGCTTACACCTGCCAAGCACTGCAGTTGTGTATACTTCACACCTGAGAATCTCAACTACAGCCTTGATACACAGTGGGAGGTCCTGAGAAGGTCCTCAGCCCTTTGTTTGGGGTTATTAACAGAAATCATTTCCCACCCCCCTATCCTGAGGGCCTCTTTGACTTTCCCTTTTTTATTATCTGTCCCTCAAGGTAGAGCTTCACTAACACTGCTTCTCTTTCCCGTATGCATCTCAGGTGGAGGAAGCCTTGACCATCAAAAACACAGATATTGCCAAGGAACTCTGCCTTCCTCCTGTGAAACTGCACTGCTCCAGTAAGTCTCTGCTCTCCAGGATGCCAAAAAGCCTGGATAATGGGAAGGGATTTTGTAATGGCATCAACTTGCCCTTGTGTTCATGGGGTCCATCTGTATAACTTTCAGAGGGCTCGAGCCCCAGTGTCTCATAGCTGTCTCCAGGAGAGTCGTACAGGAGGCAGCGTGCATCAGGCATCATGCTGAGCACTTCAAGCATCATTTCTAAACCTCAGAAGCCTCTGGGCCACAGGAGGTGTCGTTACCTCTCCTTTAAAACAAGGAAACGGAGGTTCAGGTTAAAGCACCCCAGTCACATGGCTCCTAAGTAGGAGAGCCAGGATCTAAGCCCCAATCTTTGATTCCAGAATCAGTGCTGTTCCTACCCCATTGTAGTAAAGTTAGGACCAGCAGAGGAGAAGAAATCAGCTTTCTCCATAATCCTGTTCATGGCATATTTCATCACTTCTGTCCACATGCTGTTGCTGTTAGGGTCTGCATCTGTGTATATGGGATGACTGAGCCCAATTGTGCAGTATTCCCCTCTACTCTGTCATAAGAAAAAGCCTAGAAGCTTAAAGACTGATCCTTGGCCTTCCAGTTCAGTCTCTGTCTTAAATCTAAAGCTATTTTCATCTTTTCTTAACCTTGGGAAAGGAGGGAATGAGAAACAACAGCCTTGACATATTGATGGAGTTTTTCTGACCAAATTAGCTAAAAACCAGCAGAGAGCCAGGCCGCTTGCTAGGGTAAGACTCACCCGAGAAGGACTGAGTACTGGGGACAGGGACACGCTGATGCATCCTTCAAGAAGTCTGCTAAAACCCGCGTTCTTTCCAGTTGAGCTAGAATTTCAAGTACCCATGAATAAAGGCCATAGCTTGTAAACATTTCACATGGCTTCAGAAAAACCCCAGCCTTTTCATTAGGCTTTCTTGGGTACTGAAACCTTGAGCTAAAGCTCTCTGATGTTTGCTTGCTTTCTGCTGTCATTCCAGCTCTCAATTTTTATTTTCCCCCATAGCCTCATTTCTAATATCGACTCCAAAATAAATTTTTAAACTTGAAATCATTAGAGGATCATGTGGCAGACGCCATCCCATCAATTAATAACATGGCCGACATTACACCAACTAGCTTATCCAGCATCCGCTACATTTACTCCAGACTTTCGTGTGAGCAGATAAGAACTAACCGATGTTGTCCCCACGGTGTGTCAGACACATTATGTAAGTCCTCACATAATCCCAGCAAGAAAAGCACGATTGTCCATTTTTACAGGAGAGAAAGTGGATTCCAAGAGTATAAGGAGCTAGAATCCCAGGTATTAACCTCACTCTGTCTCCAAAGCCATCATAGGAGGAATCCAGCTCTGGAAACAGCTGGCTGGCTTCCGGGCTTGCTGCTCACCCCGGCACCCTGGCTAGGTGACTGCGATGCCGTGCCCAGCACCATTGCCTTCCGGCTCTTAAAGACTCCATTTCTCAATGTCTAGAAACTTAGGCTCTCTTTCCTTCCCTTACTTCCAGTGCTGGCTGAAGATGCGATCAAGGCTGCCCTGGCTGATTACAAACTGAAACAAGAACCCAAGAAAGGAGAGGCAGAGAAGAAGTGAGCCCTAGGCAAAGCTTCCAGCAGGACACATCGGCTGCTTGCCCACCCACCATGCCGTCACCTTAGATTTCAGAAGCCCCTTGCGCTGCAGTGAGCTATGCATTACGCACATTTGCTGTTCACGTTGTGGCTCTAATGCAAGCAAAATACACAGCTTAATTGTTCTGAATCCTGTGGTTTCTTCAGCCCACTTTTATCGCCTTAACACAGTTTCTGTATACTTTAAATTGTGTATATGGTCTCAAAAAAAATCTGTAATGAAGTCTCAAGTTTTGATAGTGCGTGAAGTGCACGAAGATCTATTTTACCTGAATTCATTTTGAGGAAGATGGCCAATAGAATGTCTTATGATTCTTTGATAGAACTAAGTATTGTACAGAAGGCATCTGCATATATACAGTAAATAAAAGAATGTAAGACAATATTTTTCTCTCTTAAGCCTTTTCTCTTGACTTCCTCACTCACCCCAGAGAGCTGCCAAAGCCCCTTGGTGTTCCCAGATGCTGGACCATGATGACACATGCACCTTTCTGAGCAAATGGGAGTAAAGACTATGCATGGAGACTTTTACAACGCCACATGTGTATCATGTTTTATGAAACGGGAGAAGGTGAAAAGAGGTAGCCATCACTTTTGGTTGCTCTTTGCAAAATAACAGATGGACCACTCAAAGAACAGAAAATTCCTTTTGTAATTTCACTGACTTATGAAATCTAAAATCTGGCAAACTCTGGCTTAGACAATACCCTAAAGTGGTGGACCAAATAGGTAAAGAACACCTGGGATATTGAACAAGTTTAAAATACAGAATTCAGCTTTAGGTCTGGGCAGGTGATTCCAGTTTGTGTGGTGGCAGATAAGCCATAGGGAAGAAACTTCTTTGTTCCATTCTTTGTCCTGCACAAGTGTGACATTTACATGGTTCATTCTGAACTGTCTTTATGTGTACAGTGAGCTAAAGTTGGAAACATCCGTCCCTAGCTCATATGAATAACATGTTCTAATCACTGTCCCTCTGTGCCCTTATCCCCCTCCCCCAGGGTTGAAGGGGAGGGTATACCCATAGCCATACACCAACTAAAATCCTACTAAAGGAGGCTCAATTTTCTAGTGAAAACATAATATAAAAATACCAGCTAAGTCTCAATTCTCTTTCAACTCTCCCAGAGTAAGTTTGTCTTTTCTGATGGTGGTTTTTTGGTTGTTGTTATTCAGACATAGGCTGGCTCCTTCTTCTCTTAAATATACCTCCTCTGTTAAAATATATTTAAAAATCCTCTGGGTTCTTGGGAGGGGCACAGAACTTCAAAGGCCATCCCCTCCACAGCCTGTGGCTACGACAGAGCGGGACCTTTATAATCTCAAATTAGAGCCACCAGGTGGAACCATGTCAGATTTTTCTTTGTGGCATGTTCTACTATTTAATTCACAGTCTCTCTAGTATTGGTCTTTTTCTTTATTATATGTGGTAACACTGCAATTCCCTACCACTTTTCTTTGTAATTTTTTTAAAATGAGACATTTTTGTCCTGGATAACATCCTCTGGGAGTTGAAGCTGAATTCTACACATCAGAAGCTTCTCATAAACAGCCAAAACAATATTACCAGGATAGCCCAAATCTCAAAATATATGGTTGTGTAGCTAAAAGAAATGAGTGGTTTTTTTGTTGTTTTTTTTTTTAATTTACATTAAACACTCCTTTTCCCAGACAAATCTAGTTTTAACCACACGAGGGCATCAGATACCCTTCAATGAGCTCAAGTCTAGGGCTTATTCTGTCTCCAAGTGGGTCTTAGCATCTCCAAGTAAAATCTGCAATGGAGATGTTGACGTAAATTACGATAGTCCATCAAGCACCTGTGCCCTGTGCCAGGTTCTTATATCTGTAAACCTGTTAAGTCTCATAACAACCCACTGAAGTTTGTTTCAAACAAGAAAACTGGCTCCATGGGTCAACTGACTCAAGCCACCTCTCTTGGGCTGTATGACTCTAAAGCTCAAGAAGCTTCTCCCACCTTGTTTCCTTCCAGCAGAACATACCAAGGATTCTAAGTTCACATCAGCCACTCATCTGTGCCCTGAGCATCACATGAATAAAATGAACCAACCCGGGATGAGCCCTAATTCACTCATTTGGCCAATCCATCACCAAGCACTCGCCCTGGCTGTGCATCATAGTCACCAGGGAGCCCAATTTCATCCCTACGTCCAGTTAAATCCTATGCCCTGGGGGTGGGGCCTAGGCACTGGTGTTTTTTAAAAGCTCTCCAGGAGTCTCCAATGTGCACCCATGAGTGGGAACCACTATGAAGTACTGTGCACTTTGCAAAGCAGTTGGCTAAAATTGTTTCGGTAGATGCTCACTGTCTTCTGAGGTGTCGTTTCACATATCTAAAGAGCTCTTGAATCCCTTCCTCTCTGCCCACCTTGGATTTGCCTTAGTCTAGGCCTTCATCATCCCTCATCCGGCCTCCCCATCAGTCTTCCTGCCTCCAGTCTCACTGTCGCGATCCATCTCCCACATGGCTACCAGAAGGATATTTCTAAGCAAAACTCTGACCTTGTCACTCCTCTGCTTAAAACTCATCCATGACTTGCCATTGTCTCTCAGACAAATTCTAAACCTCTTACCACATTAGTCACTTTGTTCCAGCTACACTGAACCTTTACTGCAGGCCTCTGCTCATCTGTGCCTCCTGCCAGGAAGGCCCTTGCCAGGCATCTTCCCTTAACTTCCACTCAGCCTGGGAGCCTCATCTCAGGTACCACCTCCTCTGGGAAGCCTCCCCTGATTTCCCCAGGCTAAGCTAGGTGCCCCTCTATGCTCCCATAGTCTCCAATACTTCTCTAATCACATATGTATCATAGATGGCATTGTAATTTGCTGTTTTCTTATCTTTCTATATCATCACCCAGAGACTGAGTCTTCTTTTAGTATAGATTATTTTTTCAATTTTAAATAGGTAACACACTATTTAAAAAAATTCGAACAGCTTGAAACGGAATGGCGTGATATATATGTTTCCTTGCCACCCCTACTAATTCTCCAGTCTCCCATCTCAGAGGCAATCTCTGATACTTGTTTCTTAGATGTCCTTCCAGAAATATTCTAGGCATATCCAAGTATATATACATACATTTAAATAGTCTACCCATTTTTTTCTTTTTTACACAAATGGTAGCTAGCACACTTCCCAGACTTCTGCATCTTTTTCTTTTCCTCTTGAGTATATTTCTTCTATCAGTTCCTATAGACCTGTCTCACTCTTATTCTATTTATGATGGTCTAAAATTTAGTCTTCTGTTGATGACTGTGTAGGTTCTTTTCATGGCAATGTCTTAACTAGCAAACCCAACATCAGGTACAGTTCTTGACTTACTAGGGGCTCCATGAATGCTTATTAAATGGGTAGATGGGTGAGTGGATGGATAGATGGATGGACAGATAGATAGATGGATTGATGGGTGGGTGAATGGGTGGGTTTGTAGGCAGGTGGATAAATAGATGGTTGGGTAGGTCGATGGATGGGTAAGTGAATGGGAGGGTGTGTGAGTGGATGGGTATGTAGATAGATGGATGGATAGGCATGTGATTAGATAGGTGGGTTTATGGGTAAATGGATACATAGATGGGGAGTATGTAGAGACATACATGGGTCTATGGGTGGATAGATGGTTGGTGGGTGGGTGGGTGGATGGATGGATGGATGAATAAACAACAGAAGCTCAGAAAAGCAAGATGCTCTGGCTGAGATATTCTGCCCACCTCCCACCCCCTTCAAAGCACCACACTACAGCTCTGACAATACCTCTAACCTTTCCTAGATGTTGTTCCTGGATTTTGGCCACTTGGGACCACATCAAAATCCAGTTTTAGAACATTGCATTAAGCATTATCTCATCAAAACTAGCTGTCTGTACCATTGCATCTCCTTAAAAAGCCAAGCAAATGAGAGAGCGCCTCTTTATGATTTAGGCCTCTTGAACTTGAGGCAAAAGTGCAGACTCTGTGTTCACCTTCATGAGAGGACAGAATACTTCTTTCTAGGTCCCACTGAGTCTTGATAGAGTTGGGGGTACCCCACAGGTGAGTTCCAGCCCCAACCAGAAGATGGATATGGAGTGCATCCCTCATCAATGGCTCTTTCTGGCCTGTCTGCTTGCTTTGCCACCCTCCAAGATGACATCAGCCAAACTTCCAAAATGCCACCTTTCCAGAGAAGACTGCCTCTACATAGGGAAGCAGCAGCAGGACCAAGCAGGGTGAGCTTGGAGAGTCGGAGTCAGACAGAGTGGGTTCAAATGCTGGCTGCCACTGAGCAACCCTGAACAAGACCCTTCAATTACCCCAAGCCTCAATTTATTCATCTGCAAAACAGAATAATAGTGCCTACCTGGTCAGGTTGACATGATGATTAAATGAGATAATGCATAAAAAGCACAGTGCATATAAAAAGAGTTCATTGTTTTTATGGCAGTTGTCATGATGATGCATACACTTCAGCCTTGACTCTACTAGGCACAGTTTCTGGGTGTTTTATATTAATTACCTCCTCAGAAATCCTAAAATACTATGATTATCCCATTTTACAGATGAAGAAATGAAAAGGTAACCTGTCCAAGATCACACAGACAGGAAGTAGTGGAGGCAGAATTCTTGCCCAAGGCTACTACGCTATTCTCTATACTGCTCCTATCATTATTACTCTTAGCATTAGTACTATCATTACCATTACTAGTAGTAACTATTGTTACCATTAGTACTATTGTCACTACTACTAGTAGTAGTACTATTATTACTATTTTTTAAATATTGTTACCTCCGGGCTTTCAACTTATGGTATCTTTGCCATGGGAACAGCCCTTGCAGCAAGGCCTCCAAAATTATGCAAAGCTGTGTTCTTGCTCTACCCATGGAGGAGACACACTGACATGACTTTTGTCACACATGACTTGACAGGCAAGCTCATTCCACGGTGCATGGCCAACCACAAGACACAGCTATTCCCCAGGCCCAGCCTCAAATACCACCAGCATCTCCCTACCCAGCTATCTTTGGAAATGTCATATTAAACACTCCCACCCTTGGCTTAGCTTCAGAGAAGCCCAGCTCTCAGAATAACTCCTAAGGCACCCCGGGTGAGGACAACTCTTGCTGCCCCAGAGCTTCTGGTACAAAAGAGGTTCCAGGGGCCTCCCTTCCTGCTCCTGGGGTCTCAGGACAGTGGGTCAAAGGGTTGGGCTGGATTCCCTTCTGTCCAGACATCACATGCAGCGCTGTGTCACTGACCCCTTTTAAGCAGGACCTCAGGACGTTAGGGAACAATCTTGGATGGGGACTTGGGGCCTTGGTTTCTGATCCCAGCTCTGCCATGATCTCTAAATGTGACCTTAAGCAGATATGTAACTTCTCTGAGCCTCA